GCCCCAACAAAGAAATTCCTATTGCATAGAATATTTTAAGCCTTTAAAAATTTTTTTAAAGATTTATTATTATTATTATTTTTTTATATACGTTGGGGTTTTACCTGTATTTATGTCTGTGTGAGGTTGCCAGACCCCCTGGAACTGGAGCTGTAGACAGCTGTGAACTGCCATCAGTCCAGCCCCCAGATTTTGAGGATTTAATAATAACTTATATCTCCTTCTAAAAAGCCAGGGAGAAAAGCAAATTGACCCCACTTCACTTTTTGTTTTTGGTTTGAATCCAAGGCCTTAAAAGTACTCCACCACTGTCCTTCTGCATGCCTTGATCCAGGCACATTCTTTTCACACCATTCTGTTCCTCAACAGTCTTCCTCAGAAGCAAACCCTTTTATCAGTTGTTTTGTTTATTTTCTTTTAGACTTTTGAGGCAGCTCAGAAATTGAATCAAGGGCAGTGACAACTTTTTGAAGTGATGAAGATAGTTTTTTTCTGATGTGATTATATCAAAAATTATCAGCCTGGGTCTGGAGAGATAGTTTAGTGGTTAAGAGTACTTGGAGTTTTTGGAGAGGACTGTAATTCAGCTCACAGTACCTGTGTCTCAACTGTTTGCAGTTCTAGTTCTGGTGGATACAACATCCTCTCATCAACAGCTGGCTGGGCTTGATGGTTCGTCCCTTTAATCTCAGTGCTCAGGAGGCAGAGGCATGGATGATATATCTGTGAGTTTGAGTTCTAGACAATTAAGGCAGCAGTGAAACCCCGTTTTTAAAAAAGAGAAGTAAAACAAACAAACCCACAAGTGATTCTTTTTTGTTTCCTTACCTTAATTTGCACTTTATAAATATTTATGTAGCAAAAAAGAATGTGGACAGAAGGACTAGAGAAATTAGACTAGATGGGCCTTTGAGATGGCTCATTGTAAAAGTTCTATACAAACCTGAGTTTGATCCCTTTAACTCTCTCATGGAAGACCAACTTCTGAAAGTTGAAAGTTATCCTCTGACTTCCACACGTCTTGTCATGATTTGTAGCACACGCCTCTCTGCTTACCTGCACTCTTACACACATCTCACATGCATTAATAAATAAAACTTAAAAAATTAGAAGTAGGGCTGGAGAGATGTCTCAGAGGTTAAGAGCACTGGCTGCTCTTCCAGAGGTCCTGAGTTCAATTCCCAGCAACCACATGGTGGCTCACAACCATCTGTACTGAGATCTGGCACCCTGCTCTGGCGTGCGGGCATACATCAAGGCAGAATGTTATACATAATAAATAAATAAATCTTTAAAAAAAATTAGAAGTGGTACAAACCTTTGTAAAATAAATATTTGGAAGGTAGGAAGGATTTTTTGAATAAATTCTGTTTTTTCCATAAGTTATCTGTGTATGGAGATAATTTTCTGTATTTATATAAATGATTATTATTTAATCTTCCTTACCTCGTTTTTTGAAAGATAGTATTTTTATTCTAATTCCCCTTCCCCCCCAAAAGTATCACACTTGAAACAGTCTGTCCTAGAATCCCTTTGTAGACCAGGCTGACCTTGCTCTTAGAGATCCTTCTGCTTCTGCCTCCCAGTGCTGGGATTAAAGGCTTGCGCCACTACAACCCGACAGTATTTTTATCTTTATCAATACACCAATTAAAATTTTTATGATATCTGCCAAGAACTTAGAGATTGTGTTTGTGTTTAATGGGGGTTTGCTGTAAGTTAGCCCCCAGCTTGTGGATCCTCTTGCTCAAGTGCGGATAATTCAGGCAAGCAACATCACTTTTGGACCCAGTGATACTTTGAATAGTAGTATCTTTGTTTTTCATTTTTGTCCTTCATTTCCATTTGAAATATTAGGCAGATGCTTCAGTGTATTAATGATTTATTTCTCAACATTAATTGATTTTGTGATTTTTCAGAAAGGATATTTGACCTTTTAGAGCCAAATAATCGTCTAATTCCAACCCTAAACTTATAATTATGTTTAAATGATTGAGTTAGCTGTCAAATAATTTAAAGGTTTTGAGTGTAAGTCATATATTTGTTCATCCTGTTGATGACCTTTGCTGTTTGTATTTAATATTGTAATTTTTAATATGCATGCTTCTTTGTATATCCATATGTTGAGGAAAAGATACAGTAGGTAGTACTCTCTGTCAATTTTGTGTATAAAAGACTCCATTTTTTTCTCTCAAGGGACCAAGCGTTTGACTTCAGTTGGCTGTTGTCAAGATTCCAGGCCAGAATCTTGATTTATAGACCTTATAATCAGTTGCTTAGGGGCAATAATGTCCCTTTTATGAAAATTTGAAGATTCATAAAAGATGAAATACTGTGAAATCATCACTGTTGATTCAAGAAACATTCTTTAAGTAATACTGAATATATTCTGATTGTCTTCTAATTCTGTTGCTTTTGGCTTATTTGGTCAAATACCTGGCTGTGTTAGGGAAATGTTGAAGTTATTTAGCTGTAAAAACTCATATTTGAAACTCTTGAATTAAGTTAATATAGTTTAGAAAGATTTTATTTATATGGTTGAGAATATGTGTACCACATGTGTGCAAGAACCTGTGGAAACCAGAAAAGGATGTCAGATAACTCTGGAACTGGAGTTAGAGGCATTTGCAAGCCACCTGATATGGATGTTGGACCTGAACTAAGGTCCTCTGCTATCGTAGTATGGACTCTTGATTACTAAACCCATCTCTCCAGCTTCTTCTAGTCTTTTTAGAAGATTATAATCCCAGCATTTGGGAGACAGGTGCAGACAGATCTCTGTGAGTTTGAGGCCAGTCTGATCTACATAGCATGTTGTAGGCCACCTAGGACTTTACAGTAAGACCCTGTCTCAGAAAGAAAAAAAGAAAAAGATTGTATGTGGTTTGGTGGTCGTGTCTTCAAGCTTGCTATGTAAGTAAGAATGAACTCTGTATCTTCCTGTCCTCATCCTTCTGAGTGCTGGAAGTATAGGCATGTGTACTACAACTAGCTTTTTTTTGTTTTTAATTTTTCGAGTCAGGGTTTCTCTGTAGCTTTTTTGGTTCCTGTTCTGGAACTAGCTCTTCTAGACCAGGCTGGCCTCGAACTCACAGAGATCCACCTGCCTCCGCCTCCCGAGTGCTGGGATTAAAGGCGTGCGCCACCACCGCCCGACTACAACTAGCTTTGAATGTTTATTAGAACTAGAATTGGGGTATAGTGGTACTTGCCTGTAACCCCAGTACTCAGAAGACTGGGTCAAGAGGGCTGCCGTGAGTTTGAGATGCCTTGGCCATGTGTGTGTACATAAATTTTTTTTCTATTTTTATACACACACACACACACACACACACACACACACACACGCATTTTACATATATGTTAGAAAAAATAGGACTCAAATTAACACTCTTCATTGTTGTAGGAGGCCTCTTGTGAGTTCCCAACTGCCCAGACTTTCGAAATAACCACATAGAAACTGTATTAATTAGATCACTGCTTGGCTTATTAGCTCTAACTTCTTATTGGTTATCTTTTACATCCCAATTTAATCCATTTTCATTATTTTATATTTTACCACGAGGCTCATGGCTTAATGGCAAGGTTCTAGCCTATCTGTCTTCAGCAGTGGCTCCATGGCTTCTTGACTCCGCCTCCTTTCTCCCAGCATTCAGTCCTACCTCTGTTATTTTGCCCTATCACAGGCCAAGACAGTTTCTTTATTTTATGTATGTATGTATGTATGTATGTATGTGTGTGTGCACACCTCCATCTATATCTATACACACACACATTTTTTATTACAGTGTGGTGTTGCTACTGTGAGATACAAAAGACATGTATTTTCTGGTAAGAACTAAAGTTAGTTCTTTTGGGGCTGGAGAGATGGTTCAACAATTTAGAATACTTACTGCTTTTCTAGGGGATGCAGGTTTGATTCCCAGTATAGTGCCTCACAGGCAAAAATGTAAATACACATAAAACTTAGAAATTAAACTTTTTAATTGATTCTAATATTTTAGTAAAATGAGATTGGCTTAGAAGTTATAAAAAAAAAGCATAGGAAGAATTGGATGACACTTTTCCCCCTAGAAATCTAATGAAATACACTCCAATTTTAATTCCTGAAATTAAGTGAACTAAAAAAAAACCCTGACAGTGTCTGAATAGTGTTGGGCTTTATATTTAGCCTGTTTTTAAAAGATTTATTTATGCATTCAGTGTTCTGCCTGCATGTATGCCTCTAGGCCAGAAGAGGGCACCAGATCTCAATATAGGTGGTTGTGAGCCACCATGTGGGTGCTGGGAATTGAATTCAGGACCTCCGGAAAAGCAGTCAGTGCTCTCAACCATCTCTCCAGCCCCCTATTCAGCCAGTTTTATCCCAGAACCCAGGTTCTTAAGCCTATCTCAATTATGACAACCATCTTTAAGTGGTAGATAATCCCATATAAAGGAATTGGTAGCAGAACCTCCAAGGAATCTACTGTTTTTTTAGAAGTTTTCTAAGTTGCTCAGTACTTAATCAATGCAGGTCATCTGGAAGAGCAGTATATGTACTTAACTAATGAGTTATCTCTCCAGCACCTGTTTTGTTTATGTTATGAGACTATGTCTCAGTAGGTAGCCCTGGCTGATCTGGAAGTCACAGAGGTCTTTAGGCCACTGCCTCCCAAATGCTGGGTTTAAAGGCATGTGTCGCTACTTTTGGTGGGTTATTATGTATGTTTTTAAAGTCTGTTAATTGTCTCTTCTTCTAACTTTGTCAGAATTGGATAATTTAAGTAGTAGAAAGTCTCCCATGGTTTAAAGTTGCGCCTAACATTGAAATGGACTGTGTTGTGGAATGCTGTGCTTTTAAAGTGCCACAGGTGATTGTGATGAGCTTATAATGCAATAGAAGACTGCACTGTTCCCTAACATTGCAGATCTGATATAATTTTATAGATAATAACTACAAATTATCTTTTAATTATTCTTAACAACTTTTAACTTTTCCTTTTTTTTTCTTTTCCTAGTTTATGTCAGCGTGGCTTCATTCATACAGATGAACCAGGCATTGGGATAGCAGTATAAAATTAGAATCAGACAGCTGACTGCTCAGCAGGATGCCATCAACTAACAGAGCAGGCAGTCTAAAGGACCCTGAAATTGCAGAGCTCTTCTTCAAAGAAGATCCGGAAAAGCTCTTCACAGATCTAAGAGAAATTGGCCATGGGAGCTTTGGAGCAGTATATTTTGTGAGTTAAAGGTTTGACGTCAGTGATGTTGGAGTAAAAGATGTTAAAAAGATAAGAAGTTTGCTAAGAAAACAATCCCTGCTCTCATACTGCTTTTTATACCACATATGTCGACATGCATTATGCAAGCAATGACTTTTTGCAGCTGACATCACTTGGTTGTCAATCTTACTTCAAAACTACCTGGAGATATAATGTAATCTAGGCCCAGTCGTATAAGAATGCCTCCTATTTTGAGATGCCAGTTAAAAGCTCTAGCTTGTATTTTGATTAACTATGGAGTTGGGATCCTTCAACCCTTTCCTTGGATATAATTAAGTGCAACTTTTAAGATTTCATTTTAAATGATACAACAAAAGATTGAGCCCTAGAATCCTATTTGGAACAGGAGCTTTTGTGTACATGGAGTATGTCAGTTTCTTGGCCATTGGATGTTTGCTCTCATCTTCCTCATCATCCCTAGTCTTCTGGGGTTGTTATTCATTACATAAGGTTATTAGTAGGTTATTGGCTGTTAGTGATTAATTTTACCTTCAGCTGCTTTCCTTTCTTCCCAGGTGAGAATTGGGTGTGTAATGCCAGTTCCACTTTTCTGACTCAGGATTGGTTTCCCTGAGAACCATTCTTCCCTCCAATCCTGTTATTATCCATGTTCTTTCCTCAAAACACCTCAGGTGTGGTTGAAAGTGGTTTGCTGTAAATAAAAAAGGCTCTCTTATTATTCACCAATGTAGCTCTTCTGGAGGTTGCTTGCAACCAAGGACAAAAATCCAAATATTTTACCAAGATAATAGTTTAGGGGAATAAAAATAAACCACCCTAAATATATCTTCTGGCAAGATTTATGTTAATTATTCTGCAGATAGAGGAATGACACTGAGATGCTATCCTTAGAAGACTTGACAGCTTAATATGACAGTCTTGCTCGCCTTACAGTAATTTCTTTAGCCTCTCATAGTCTGCTTGTTGTCATCATCCTCAGAAGCTTCAGGACCCTCATTCTGTAGGGCAATATGCTATTTCAAGGTCAACCATATGGTCCTTTTGAGTTTTTTTACTTTGTGTATGGCTCCTGCATGTACACATTAATAATTCGTATGCTTTGTCCCTTCCCCCTTTTCTCTATTACCAGTTCACTTTATAGACTAAAATTATTGAACCTTCTGAGGAAGAGACAAATTTCAAACTTCTATATAGCTTTCATATATACATCCTCAGAGTATATAGTCTAGAATCCTCCTCCCCATACTTAAAACTGAAGATGATACTGAACCTTATAATTTAATGTCTCACCAGGTGGTGGTGGCGCTCACCTTTAATCCCAGGACTTGGGAGGTAGAGGCAGGTGGATCTCTGTGTGTTCGAAGCCAGCTTGATCTACAAGAGCTAGTTCCAGGACAGGTTCCAAAGCTACAAAGAAACCCTGTCTCGAAAAACCCCAAAAATGAAAAAAAAAAAATTAATGTCTGAGCTAAATACTTCAATACTTTTCATTCCCTGTGGCCATAACTTCTGCATTTTGAGGTATGGCAACTAGCATACATTTCACTTCCTGATAATTTTTTTTTTTAAATATGCATTGGCGTTTTGTCTCCGTGTGTATCTGTGTGAGGGTATCAGATCCCCTGGAACTGGAGTTACAGACAGTTGTGAGCTACTGTGTGGGTGCTGGAAATTGAACCCAGATCCTTTGGAAGAACAGCTAGTTCTCTTAACCACTGAGTCATCTCTTTAGCTCCCTTTATAATTTTATAATAGAAATCTTGTTCTTACTGTAGAGTTTTAGCAGCATCAGTATAACTTTGTTGTTTTTGAGACAAGGTCTCTTTACATAGCCATGACTGTTCCAGAACTCACTATGTAGTCTAGGCTGACTTTGAACTTGCAGAGATCTGCCTCTTCTGCCTTCTGAGTGCTGGGATTAAAAGTGTACACCACCACCACACAGCTGAGATTTTTTTCCCCCAAGATAGGGTTTCTCTGTGTAACAGTCCTGGTTGTCCTAGAACCCACTTTCTAGACCAGACTGACCTTGAACTCACTGAGATCCACCTGCCCCTGCTTTCCAAGTGCTATAATTTAAGGCCTTTGGCCACTTCCTCCCATTCAGGCCAGAAGAGCATATCAGATCCTCTGGGCCTGGATACAACCTGGTAGTTGTAAGCTGTCTGATGTGGATGGGTGCTGGGAACCAAACCGGGTTTTATAAGAGTAGTAAGAGTTCTTATCTATTGATGTTTCTCTCTAGCTCCCAAGTTAGAAATTTCTTTATCTTATTTTTCTTTTTCCATTTTGTGTGTGTGTGCACACATGTGTACGAGTGTGTGTGTATGCATGTGGTGCATGTTTTTACATATGTGTGGGCGTGGATGTCATCAGCATGTTAGGATTCATTCTAGATTCTCTTTTATTTCATTTGTCTAAGCAGGGTTAATCCAGAGCTCACTCTTAGGGCTTCTTGTTAGCTTAACTTGCTCCAGTGATCTTATCTCCTTCCAGAGTTGGACTTACAGTTGGACCATCAAATCTACGCAGTATGTATGGTGTTAGTTTTCTGGGGATCTATACTCTGCTCCTCTTTACACTCATAATACTTTGTGTTGTGAGTGCTATTGCCAGTGAGCCATCTTCTGCATTCCCTTTTGTTACTTTGTTTTCTCTGTGAAGCCCTGGCTACCCTGAAACTTTCAGTGTAGACCAGGCTGGCCTTGCACTTACAAAGATCTATCTGCTTCTCTCTTTCAGGTGCCTGGATTATTTTCCTTTTTTTTTTTTGGTTTTTTCGAGACAGGGTTTCTCTGTGGTTTTGGAGCCTGTCCTGGAACTAGCTCTTGTAGACCAGGCTAGTCTCGAACTCACAGAGATCCGCCTGCCTCTGCCTCCCAAGTGGTGGGATTAAAGGCGTGTGCCACCACTGCCCGGTTTTATTTTCATTTTTTTCTCAAAGGAAACATTCTTCTTTTTGGCATGTCAGGATTGCCATTATCTCACTATTATATTTTGATATTTTTATTATGTAAATCTTGATTGTTCAAACACAAGGACTTAAATAACCAATGCAAAACTATATAGCTATCTTAGATGCTACTAAGTCACTTATGGGTAGGTAGAGTATGCATCGTAGATATGGTGGGCAAAAGAAATGATTCATGTCCTAGCCAGATAGAATATGCTACTAAGAACAGCATACAATTTCAAACGTTCAGAGAAAGCCAGGTGAGAAAGAGGAAGACAACCTTCATAGGTCAGAAAGACCAAGGTTCAGAGCCTGCATTTTAGTTCAAAATACCTAACCAGTTGATATAAATTGCTGTACTTTGGAATATTGTGTTAGAGCACAAGTCCATTTTTCAGTTTTGAGTATGTATGTGCTTTAAGGGTAGAATTTCAGATACCTATGACACTTCTATGTTTAAATTTTTGAGGAATAATTTAACTGGAAGCCCAGGAACTGCTATTTTCATTCCCACCAGTAGTTAAAAGACTTAATTTCTTTTTTTTTAATTAATTAATTTATTTAAAATTTCCACCTCCTCCCATCCTCCCATTTCCCTCTTACTCCCCCCACAAGACTTAATTTCTTTACCTTTGTGAAAATGCCTGTTATCTTGATATTTTGGTTATTCAGTCTCAATGTTGTGGAGTGGTTTTCATTTTCAGTTTACTGATGTTGAACATGTTCTGTTGTTGTTTAGATAGGGTCTTTCTTTGTAGCCCTGGCTTTCCTGAATCTCATTGTATGGATCAGGATGGTTTCAAACCATTCCCAGCCTGTGTTGGTTGTTTTTGTTGTTTTAAAGCTGTATGTGGAGCTGGACACTTTTAATCTCAGCACTCAGGTGTCAAAGACAGGTGTGAATCTGAGCCAGCCTGATCTACTTAGAGAGTTCCAGTCCAGCCAGGGCTGCATAATGAGACCCTATCTCCCCTTCCACAAAAAAAATAATATTTTAAAAATTTTATTTGTGTGTGCCACAGTGTGAGGATATTTTCAGACACCAGAAGAGAGCCTGAATTCTCAAGCTAGAGCTAACAGGTGGTTGTGAAACTCCCAATATGAGTACTTATAACCAAATTCAAGACCTCTGGAGGAACAACCAATGTTTTTAACCACTGAGCAATCTCCATCCCCATTCTCAGGTCTCTGGCTTTGTATTTTAAGTAGACTCTGTCTAGAATATATAAAGAACTCAATAATAAAGATTCGTAGTTTATAACATGAATATTATAAATATTTGAATTAAAATTTTTTCCAAAGAAAATTGCAGATGGACAATAAGCTTATAAAAAATGTTGAATATTAGCTGGGCATTGGTGGCACACACTTTTTATTCCAGCACTTGGGAGGCAGAGGCAGGTGAATCTTCATGAGTTCAAGATCAACCTGGTCTATAGAGTTCCAAGACAGGCTTCAAAGCTATAGAAAAATCCTGTTTGAAAAAATAAAACAACAACAACAAAAAAATCAATATTATTAGTCACGAATCTTGAAATATTTTTTTAAGTAATCACAAAAGGTCACATGTGGTTCCTTTTAAATAAAACGTCCAGAATAAACAAATCTTGAGGCATAGGAAGTATATTGTTGCTTAGAGAAGGTGAGTAAAACAGATAGGAGGGTGATATGTAAAGATGATATAGGGTAAATTCAGCCATGGTTAAAAACACCCCAGTAGCAGTACTCCGGAAACTGAGGGAGGAACATTTTGAGTATGAGGCCATAATAGGATATATTCGTGAATTCAAGGCTAGTCTAGTTTATAATTTTTAGAGAGTGTAGAAAAACAAGAATCAAAAAACAAAAATAGACCCCAGGCCTTATAGAAATGATATGTCATGTTGAACACTTAACTTCTCTAGTTTTGGTTTTGTAAGTGTTGGCTTTCTTTATAGTTGAGAGATTTGGAAGTAATCCTTCCTAAACTTTCAGCATTTAAGTTTATATTGGGTAGTGTACACCTTTAATTCCAGCACTCAGGAGTCAGAGACAGAGACTCTTCAGTTTGGGGCCTATATATAGCAAGCTCCAATACAGCTAGGGCTACATAGAGAAACCTGGTCTCAAAACAACTGGAACAAAATATGAATTCTGAAATGTCTTTCTAGTATCAAGTCCTGAGCTTTATATTTTATTTTAATAATTTTTTTATGATTTATTTAACTTTATTTTATGTGCATTGATGTGGCGGTGTCAGATCCCCTGGAAGTGGATTTACAGACAGTTGTGAGCTGCCATGTGGGTGCTGGGAATTGAACCCGGGTCGTCTGGAAGAACAGTCTGTGCTCTTAACTGCCAAGCCATCTCTCCAGCCCCTGAGTTTATATTTTATCGTGATAGTCGATGTCATATAAAATTTAGGTTAAGAAATACTTACATTTATTTATTTTGTTGCAGAAGGACCATTGAGGTCAGAGGACAACTCGCAGGAGTTTGTTCTCTTTCTAGAATGTGGGTCTCAGGAATTAAATCTAGTTTACCAGATTTGGTGGCAAATAATTTACCCTGAGCCGTATCTTCTTCTCCATGTCCTATAAAATTTTATAGTCTCCCTGCTTATATTTGTGAATTAAATTGGTATATAACTTAAATGGGTTTTAAATATAGGATCATACTGCATTCTTATAAGACATTTCTTCTTCCCTTTTATATATCTGAAAAGATACACAAACACCCCATCTTCCCCCCATGCCGTGTGTGTGTGTGTGTGTGTGTGTGTGTGTGTGTGCGCGCGCGCGCGCGTGCTCGCGCGCGCGCATATGTGTGTTCAGGTGCATCTTTATGTGTATAGACTAGAGGACTACCTCAGGAGCAGTCCATGTTGTTTTGTTCAATTTTACTTATTTTTATTTTCTGTGTATGGGTGTTTTGCCTTCGTTTATTTATTTATATTTACCACATATGTGCCTAGTACCTGTGGAGGCCAGAAGAGGTATGGATCTCATGGAACTGGAGTTATACATGATTATTAGCTGCTGTTCTGGGTGTTAGGAATTGAACTTGGGTCCTCTGTAAAAGCAGTTCGCATTCTCACTGTGCCATCTATCCAGTCCTTTTTTGTTTTTTGTTTTTTTTTTTGTTTGTTTGTTTTTTGATTTTTCGAGACAGGGTTTCTCTGTGGCTTTGGAGCCTGTCCTGGAACTGGCTCTGTAGACCAGGCTGGTCTCGAACTCACAGAGATCCACCTGCCTCTGCCTCCCGAGTGCTGGGATTAAAGGCGTGCTCCACCATCACCCGGTTCCTTTTTTGTTTTTAAGTTAAAGAAGACATGTTTATTAAAAAAGAATACTTTCTAAAAGTGTGCGGTGTGTGTGTGTGTGTGTGTGTGAGAGAGAGAGAGAGAGAGAGAGAGAGAGAAAGAGTTCGACCTTTATGTGGATGTCTTTAGTGTGTGTGTGTGTGTGTGTGTGTGAGAGAGAGAGAGAGAGAGAGAGAGAGAGAGAGAGAGAGAGAGAAAGAGTTCGACCTTTATGTGGATGTCTTTAGAGGCCTGAAGATTGCATTAGACTCTTGGAACTGGAGTTACAAGTGATTGTGTGCCACTTAATGTGGGGCTGGAAACTTAACTCCAGCCCCAAGCACTCTTAGCCACTAAACAATCTCTAGTCTCTTAGTATGTTTTTTGAAATAAAGTCATTTAGACTGGGAACTACCCAAGTAGGCCAAACTAGTTGACTCTAGTACTGGGATTACAAATCCATGTTACCATACCCAGTTTTTTTCTTAGGGTGAGTTCTAGGGATCAAACTCAGGTTCACATGCTTACAAGGCAGTGGGGTGTTTGTTTTGTTTTTTTTTAAATGTTTTTATTTTTAAATAAAGTGTTCTACAAGGGCTCTCAAGATGGACTTGTGAGTAAAGGTGCTTGCTACCAATCTTGACAACCTGAATTTAATATACTGGACCCACATAGTAGAAAGAGAACTAACTGATTCTCTAAAGTTGTCCTCTCACCTGTAGACACATAAGACTCATACAAATTCACAAATATATACATGTATTATGCATATAAATACAATAATGTTTTTTACAAGTGTTCTTTAAGAGGATCTTTATTGCACCTTAGCTTTTTGGTTTTTTAATTGGTTATATATTTGAGGTTTGCAATATGGATTGTAAATGCTGACTATAGTGTGAAGTAGATGATTTACCTATTATATAGTGACTTTCATATGTGACAAGCCACTAAAAGCTACTTTTACTTAATAGAATTCCCTAATACAATTTTTTTTAACTGTAGATTTGAATTGTTATTAGTTCTTTAGGTTCCTGTTTCTTCTTTATTTTTTCTGCCATTAAAGCTAATTTTGATATTTTTTGAATTACTAGTTTTCAAGCACCTTTACTCTCAAAGAAATAACATCTCAGATTCAATTTAATTGGTTTCTATTTCACAATGGTTCTTTCTTTGTTTCTTTTTAAGGCTCGAGATGTGCGTACTAATGAAGTGGTGGCCATCAAGAAAATGTCTTATAGTGGAAAGCAGTCTACTGAGGTAAGTTAATTATGTACATATTTTTGGAATGTTAGGAAAACATACTATTTTTTAATAATGGAGAAAAAATTAAAATAGATATGTGTAAGGTATACAATCCTAAATGTATTTGTAGATTTTTCTTTTATCCTGTTTGCTTGTTCATTCACTTTTTTTTAAACCTTTTTCATTGCTGTACTAAATCCCAGATTTCTTCATGCTAATTTTATACATACTTAATTGTGGTTGATTCCTCTCCTTCCACTCATCTTCCTGTTCTTGATCGGTTTTTACCCTTCCAGTCAGTTTGTACCCTTCTGCCCTAGTATTTCTCTTTCCAGTTCCCCACCCCCTTCTATAAAGCTTCTTTGTTTGCCCTCCAATTGGCCCCTTTTTAAATTTCCCAACTCCTGCCCATGTCACATCAGTGAATCTTCTTTTACAAATGGGTGAGGCCCATTTAGCTATTACTTAGAGCCATAATCAAAATATTAGTAACATATCAAAAGCCTCCTAACCTATGTCTTACGCTTTTAGTTTTTTAAGCTGTGGTTTAATAATTATTCTGTATTTATCTTGTTTTCTAAATACTAATTAAGATGTATGTGACAGGGGCTGGAGAGATGGCTCAGTGGTTAAGAGCATTGCCTGCTCTTCCAAAGGTCCTGAGTTCAATTCCCGGCAACCACATGGTGGCTCACAACCATCTGTAAAGAGGTCTGGTGCCCTCTTCTGACCTGCAGACATGCACACAGACAGAATATTGTATACATAATAAATAAATAAATATTTAAAAAAAAGATGTATGTGACAGTAAATTAATAGGACATAACCTTTTATTTAAAAACAATTTAGAAAATATTTCATGGCTGTTTTAAAAATTTATCCCAAGGGACTGGAGAAATGGCTCAGAGGTTAAAAGCATTGGTTGCTCTTCCAAAGGTCCCTAAGGTCCTGAGTTCAATTCCCAGCAACCACATGGTGGCTCATAACCATCTGTAATGAGATCTGGTGCCCTCTTCTGGTTTGCAGGCATAATGTAGACAGAACACTATGTATATAATAAATAAATAAATCTTTAAAAAAATTGTCCAAAGATAATATGTAATAATTTGAGAAAGGAAAAAGAGAATTAGTTGTTTTATCTTGCCAGTATTCTTATTTCTAGATTATGTTTGGCCTATGTAATTTACAGATTCATAAAAAAAAATGTGCTTTTAAAATCTAGAATTCTGAGCCTGGCATGATGGCACATACTTTTAATTGCATTTGGGAGGCAGGGGCAGGTGGATCTCTGTGAGTTTGAGGCCAGCCTAGTCTACAAAGTGAGTTCCAGGACAGCCAGGGCTACATAAGAATCCCTGTCTAGAAAAACAAGACAGAAAAAAAAAAAATTAGGATTCTGAGGTTTGTTAATTTAAAAACAAACTAATAGTTTTTTAGTTGTGACAAAGCACTTGCAGCAAAATTTGCTATGTTACACCATTTTCAAGTAGATGGCACAGTAGTGTTATTTACATTCATGCCATTCAACCATTACCAACGCTAGAATTTTTTTCATTTTGGGACATGGGACATGTACTCATAATATGGAATGAGATTTGGTTTAGTGATAAAGTAGTTGCTATCTGTTCACATGACCACCCCAGTATCACCAAAACAACGGTAATTTTTTTTCAAACACCTACCCGCTAGCTTCCACAATTCTGCTGTTTTTTATGAAGTTAACTATTGGGGCATTTCCAAGCATTTCTAACCTTTGACACTGTAGTATATTGTCATGTATAGAGTTCATGCTGGAAAGATGTGCAACTGAATTTTTAAAAAAATTGAGAAAAAAAGGTTTTTTGGTTTTTTTTTTTTTTTTTTTAAGGAAAAGTTTTAAGTAAGTTTTCTGTTCTGTATTATACTGCATTCATAGCCATCTTCAGCTACATATTGTCCTGTGAAGCCATAGAGCTACAGATTGGATATTCCTGCAAGTAGAGTCATTTAGTATTTGTCCCTTTGGTACTAATGTATTTTATATCACACAGTATTTTCATTGTTCATACATAGTATGACACGCCAAATTTTTTTCCTTTTCAAGAGACTAAGAAATATTCCATTGTGTGTATATGTGTTACTTCTATCTCTGCATGCATTCATACCTCACATTTCTTTTTTTCTTTTTTTTTGATTTTCGAGAAAGGGTTTCTCCATAGTTTTTTGGAGCCTGTCCTGGAACTAGCTCTTGTAGACCAGACTGGCCTCGAACTCCCAGAGATCTTCCTGCCTCTGCCTCCCGAGTGCTGGGATTAAAGGCGTGCGCCACCACCGCCTGGCTCTCACATTTCTTTTCAAACCTACAAATGGACCTGGGTTCCTTCAGTCTTTTGTTAATAATACTGCTATGAACAGGAGTGCACCAATATTTCTGTAGATTTTTGTTTTAATTTCTTTTGGTTATATGTCTAGAAGGGAACTTGCTGGATTTGTTTCAAAGACTTGAGTTCCTATTTGTTTTATTTTTATTTTTATTATTTTTATTGATATTTATTGAGCTCAACATTTTTCTCTGCTCCCCTTCCTGCCTCTCCCCTCCCTCCTTTGACCCTCCCCCAAGGTCCTCATACTCCCAATTTACTCTGGAGATCTTGTCTTTTTCTACTTTCTACTTCCCATGTAGATTAGATCTATGTAAGTCTCTCTTAGTGTCCGCATTGTTGTTTGTCTAAGTTCTCTGGGATTGTGGTTTATTGGCTGGTTTTCTTTGCTTTATGTTTAAAAACCGCGTATGAGTGAGTACATGTGATAATTGTCTTTCTGTGTCTGGGTTACCTCACTCAATATGATGATTTCTAGATCCATTCATTTGCCTACAAATTTCAAGATGTCTTTTTTTTTTCTGCTGTGTAGTACTCCATTGTGTAAATGTATCACATTTTTCTTATCCATTCTTCGGTCGAGGGGCACTTAGGTTGTTTCCAGGTTCTGGCTATGACAAACAAAGCTAATATGAACATAGTTGAGCACATGTCCTTGTGGCACAATTGAGCGTCCTTTGGATATATACCCAAAAGTGGTATTACTGGGTCTTGAGGAAGGTTGTTTCCTAATTTTCTGAGAAATCGCCACACTGACATCCAAAGGGGTTGTACCAGCTTGCATTCCCACCAGCAATGCAAAAGTGTTCCCTTTTCCCCACAACCTCTCCAGCATAAGTTGTTATCAGGGTTTTTGATCTTAGCCATTCTTTTTTTTTTTTTTAATTTATTTATTATGTATACAATGTTCTGTCTGTGTGTATGTCTGCAGGCCAGAAGAGGGCGCCAGATCTCATTACAGATGGTTGTGAGCCGCCATGTGGTTGCTGGGAATTGAACTCAGGACCTTTGGAAGAGCAGGCAATGCTCTTAACTGCTGAGCCATCTCTCCAGCCCCAGGACCTTTGGAAGAGCAGCTAGTGCTCTTAACCTCTTGAGCCATCTTTCCAGCTGCCGATCTTAGCCATTCTTCTAGGTGTAAGATGGATTCTCAGAGTTGTTTTGATTTGCTTTTCTCTGATGGCTAAGGATGTTGAACATTTCCTTAAGTGTCTTTCACCCATTTTAGATTCCTCTGTTGAGAGTTCTCTGTTTAGGTCTGTACTTCATTTTTTTTTTTAATTGGATTATGTGATCTTTTGGTGTCCAATTTCTTGAGTTCTTTGTATATTTTGGATATCAGACTTCTGTCTGATGTGGGGTTAGTGAAGATCTTTTCCCATTCTGTAGGCTGTCATTTTGTCTTGTTGACTGTGTCCTTTGCTTTATAGAGGTTTTCCGTTTCAGGAGGTTCCATTTATTAATTGTTTTTCTCTCAGTGTCTATGCTGCTGGGGTTCTATTTAGGAAGTGGTTCGCTGTGCCAATGCATTCAAGTGTACTTCCCACTTTCTCTTCTATAAGGTTCAGTGTGGCTGGCTTTATGTTGAGGTCTTTGATCCATTTGGACTTGGGTTTTGTGCATGGTGATAGATATGGGTCTATTTTCATTCTTCTTCATGTTGATACCATTTATGCCAGCACCACTTATTAAATGTGCTTTTTTTTTCCATTTGATATTTTTTGCTTTTTTAGATCAGGTGTTCAAAGATGTGTGGATTGGTATCTGGGTCTTCTGTTCAGTTCCATTGGTTCTCCTGTCTGTTTTTATACCAATACCAGGCTGTTTTCAGTACTGTAGCTCTGTAGTAGAGTTTGAAGTCAGGGATTGTGATGCCTCCAGAAGTTCTTTTATTGTACAGGATTGTTTTGGCTATCCTGGGTTTTTTGCTTTTCCATATGAAGCTGAGTACCATTCTTTCGAGGTTTTTGAATAATGTTGATGGTATTTTGATGGGCATTGCGTTGAATCTGTCCTATTTGTTTTGAATCTGTTTTGTGGTAAATCTTGGTTTGATGATTATTGAGCTAAGGGTATGGTAATACTATTATATCTTTCTGTCATTTTGGTATCTAAAAACTGATATTTCTTTGAAGCATAATTTTATTTACTGTTGTGTTAAATCAACTTTATAACTAATAGATTGACTAAAACAAGAACTCCAAACAGATTGGTCTTTATACGGTATTTATTGAACTTGTGGAATGGCTTATTGAACGTACAGACTTTTATTTTTAAAGTTTACTGATTTGCTTCATAAGAGTAATTATGTAGGTCTGGAAATTTAGGTCAGTAATAGAGCATTTGCCCAGCATGTTTGTGGCCCTATTTTCATTCCCCAGCAATATACACATGTGTGTGCACACACAAGTAATATGTGTAGGGACTGGATGGTTGTCTCAGTGTGTAAAGTACTTGCCACATAAGTGTGAATACCTGAATTTGACTCCCCTGGACCCACATAAAAGCTAGGTACCTGTCTGTAATCCCAGTGCTTTCATGAGATAGGAAGTGAAGACAGAATCTGCAGAATCTGATTGCACAGTTGACCTGGCATGTACAGCAAAGAAGAACAAAGAGCAGGCCCTGTTTCCCAAAACATTCTCTTGTTGACTATTGATCTCTGCACATGTACCGTGGCATGGCTGTACCTGCACTCACATATGGACATGTGTACACACACACACACACACACACACACACACAAATAAAGGAGGAGTTAAGGATGTTGCCCTAAATGTTTTCTATATTTCATGATACTTGTGAGAGAAAGAAATCAGTAGAATATGTAGGAAAATCATTATTATATTCCCTTTTTTCTGTTACCTTTAATACATAGTTATTCTAGCATTTTCTTGTTATTTTATATATATGGGTAGTTTGCCCACATGTATTTCTGTGCCCCATGTATGTGCCTGGTGTTCAGGGAGTCCAGAAGAAAGTGGTAACAATTGAATGCTGCTGGTGGAAGAGTCAGTTTTCTTTAAGGGTGTGACCCCTGGTAGGTAGTGCAGGTCTAACACTCAAAAGTATTTGGACAGCACAAATTGAACTTTTGTTTTCAAAAAATTGATTTTGTTTTATTGTATTGGTTTTTCAAGACATGGTTTCTCGGTGTAGTCTTGGCTGTCCTGAAACTCGCTCTGTAGACCAGGTCGCCCTCCAACTCAGACATTCACCTGCCACTGGCTCCCAAGTGTTGGGATTAAAGATGTGTGCCACCACTGCCCAACTGGATTAGCTTTAAAGCAAAAAAGAGAGGGAAAACAAAATTGGGTGGGTAAGTAGGTGGGGTGAATGTGGAATGTCCAAAGTAAGGTGATGAATATGATCACAATACATTCTATGAAATGTTCAAGAAATTAATAAAATTAACTTTAATTAATCATTTAAAAATAATTTTATTTAAAGAAAATAAAAAGATTGACTTCTGAGGGAAAGAAAACCCATGTGTGTTTTATTTTTGTCAATGTGCTTGATTGTTTGATTTAAGATTTTTTATTTTATATGTATTTGTGTATGTTTGTATACCTTGTGTGTGCCTGGTACTTTTAGAGGCCAGAAAAGGATGGACCACTATAAATGGATAAACTGCCATGTGTGTACTAAGAATTGAACTCAGGTTTTCTAGAAGAGTAACAAGTGCTTTTGACTTCAGAATCATCTCACTAGCCTACTATAAAACATAGTAGGACTCATTGATTGTGAATATTATTAAGCTGAAATTTGTCCTTAAATGTCTTGTATCTTATATAACTAAATTAATGGTCTGAGTACAGATCTTTTAAACTTTATTTTGACATTTCTGGTATAGATCATAAAGTTGTTTGTTCTTCTTACCTTTTTAAATATAGTAATTACTTCTTATGTATTTTTCAAAGAAAAATCAGCTGTTCGTAATTCTTCCTTCTGTTCCTTTTTTTCTCCCTCTACATAGAAATGGCAGGATATTATTAAGGAAGTCAAGTTTCTACAAAGAATAAAACATCCCAACAGTATAGAATATAAAGGCTGCTATTTACGGGAACACACTGCATGGGTTGGTATTTGTTCTCTTCCTGTTGTAAATTAAATTAGTTTCTTTTGATTTAGCATAACTTAATGTCTCAGACTGGTTATATGAAGACATGCTTTATACTTGAATTGTTAGTTCATCCTAGGAGAGGAAGAACAGTATTCTTGCAACTTTTAACAGATAAAGACTTCTCCAGAGTTTATTCATAACTTCAGAAGTACCAACTCAGCATCTAAAGAGTAGTACCATTTATTTGAGAATGGAAGTGAACATACCTTATTGGTGTAAATGTGTGTTAATACATTTAAGTACAAAGATCCTTGTGAAGTTTTGATATATCCTGATGAAATTTGAGGTGACATAATTCCATAGTTGAATAACACTTAACATAGAGAATTGTGACATTGTGTATAGGAATAGTATTATAGATGTAATTATATATAATTATAAATTTATTTATATAAGAAATAATACACAGCTTATATAATTGGTTTCATGTTAACATTATTAGAAGACAAGTGTTATCATTGGCTTAAATTTTATTTAATAGTTTAAAGAAACAGTGTTGCTATGTGGCCTCATATTTTTTGCCTTGGCATCCCAACTACTGAGATCACTGGTGTCACCATGCCTGAATCATTCATTAGCTTAGTTTAACAGATTGCTAAGTATATAACTGTATTGTAAATGTGGATGATAGCTCAAGTTTATTTTACTTTATACTGTCTTCTTGACTTCATATTTATCTCATAGACTAAGTTTTTATAATGTATTTTAATGCATTTAATAATTTTTCTACCCATGCAGCTTGTAATGGAATATTGTTTGGGATCTGCTTCAGATTTGCTAGAAGGTAAACTAACTTTGATTATTGATTTTTGGTTGTTTAATTTTTTTTTAAGTCTTTTTTTTTTTAAAGATTTTATTTATTTATTATGCATACAACATTCTGCCTCCATGTATGTCTGCATGGCAGAAGAGGGCGCCAGATCTCATTACAGATGGCTGTGAGCCACCATGTGGTTGCTGGGAATTGAACTCAGGACCTCTGGAAGAGCAGCCAGTGCTCTTAACCACTGAGCCATCTCTCCAGCCCCCTGGTTGTTTAATTTTAAAGTCAGGCTATTGTGGTACATATCTTTAATTCTAACACTCAAGAGACAGAAGCATGTGGATCTCTGATTTTGAGTCTAGCCTGGCCTACAGAGTGAATTCCAGAACTGCCTGGGCTACACAAAAACCCTGTCTCTAAAAAACATATGTAGATAAATGAATAAATGAATGAATTGATGAGTGAATAAATAAAATAAATAAATTTTGAAACATGATCTCTTTAAGGAGCCCTTGGAGGTCCTGGAACTCGCTATGTAGACCAGGCTTCTATATCCTGCCTGATTTGATTAAAAACATGTGCCACCATTCCTGACCTTGATCATTGTTTATTAAAGTTTTAGAGTAAAATAGCAATTTGGTCCTAGAGGTGGTTGTGTACTTCTTTAATTCCAGAACTTGGGCGACAGAGGCAGATGTATCTGAGTTTGAAGCCAGCCCCTGATCTACATACATAACAAGTTAGTTTCAGAAGAGCCAGAGCTATATAGAGACATCCTGTTTCAAATACCAAATCAATCAAACAAAACAATTCAGTTAGAGTTTATTTAAACAATATTAATACTAAATAAATATAAAATTTTGCAGAAAGTATATTATCCCTTGTCTTTTTCTTTTTCTTCATATGAAATTTGCTATCCTTACAAAGTAGGCAGATTTTTCTCTTTGAAACTTTCTATGCATTAAAAAGATTCTTTTTCCTCTATTTGATCTGTTATGTTAATAAAGTCATCAGGTTAATTGTTGGGTATTGTTAAGTTTAGAGGAACAGTTGATTGTCTATTGTTAACTCTTGCCGTAAGTGTATTCTAGCTATAGTTTATTGGTCTTGTTTTATCACCATGGAAATTGTCTCCTGCTAAATGCCTGTTTTTCAAAAATTGAGATAGCTCAGTGAGTAAAGCAATTGCTGCACAAATATTAAGACTAAGTTCAAATCTTCAGAACACAAGTAAAGTTAGGCATGTTGTGTGCCTCAGTAATTACAGTGCTCCACAGGGAGATAGAGGTAGAGACAGGAAAATCCTTAGAGGCTTGTGGCCTAGATAGCCTGGCATATGTGGACAGCAAATACTAAAGAGACTGCCTCAAACAAGGTAGGAGGTGAGGATCAGTGGTTTCCTTTGACCTCCATACATAAACTATGATACACACACATATTATACACATAGTCACTACAATACCAATGTGTCAGCTGGGCAGTAGTGGCACATGCCTTTAATCTGAGCACTTGGGAGGCAGAGACAAAAGGATTTCTATGAATTTGAAGCCAGCCTGGTCTACAGAGCAAGTTCCAGGACAGCTAGGGCTATACAGAGAACCCCTGTCTAGGAAAACAGACAAACAAACAAACAAACCAGTGTGTCAATTTGTATATTCATTTAAAAAGGTTTTTTTTTTAATTATTTTATATGGGTTTGTTTGTATTTATGTGCATGTGCACCACAGTGTATATGTGAAAGCCAGAGGACAACTTGACAACTCTTCTTCTAGTGGGTAGGTAGGTTTAGGGAATTGAACTCAGATCCACAGGCTTACACATTTACTCATTAACCTGTCTTGTTATCCCTGTATATATTTTTAAACAAGAATATTCTATGTGATTACTTTCAAATACATTTTCTTTTCTTAGTTCATAAAAAGCCATTACAAGAAGTGGAAATAGCAGCAATTACACATGGTGCTCTCCAGGGATTAGCTTATTTACATTCTCATACCATGATCCATAGGTAAGTGATTTGAAAATTACCATATATTGACAAGCAAGTGGTTTATTGAATTTATCACCCCATAGTTCAGTGTCTCTGGAATTTTTGTTTACTTCAGCCAAAAAGAATTGCCTATAAACTCAACACTATTTAGACTGTTTACATATTAGAAAGAACATAGTATATGTATGTTTCTTTAGGATAATTTTAATTTTTGCCTGCTATGTTTCCTAAAGCATATGTATTTTATGAAACTTAATTGTAGAATTACCTAATGTGTAAACTGGAAGGGGTATTAGGAATCACAGAGTCTTTCTTTTTGTATAATTGATACTTTAATTTGTGACTACAATTTCCCTAAGATTGCAAAGGCAAATAGAGTATGAACTTAGTGATCTTTTTTTTCCTGATAACTAATAAATTGCAGGTTTGTTCCATTGATTCTGTGACATGGACAAAAACCATTTCGATGCTTTTTTTTTTTTTTTTTTTAGCACTGCTATTAGTTTTGGCTGTTTGAGATAGATATTAGTATTTAAAATATTATGTGATTCTGTCAGTAACTATTAAACTATGCGGTACATCCTTTTATTTAAAAATAATGGATTGTCATTATTTTTAGATGAGGGTAGGTGAAATCCAAGAGAAATTCATATGGTAGCAAGTCAGCCATTGGCAGAATTGGAATAAATTTTCTCGTCTGCAAAAATACCTCACTATGCATAAGGCTTAGAATTTAATCCACATTACCATACACCCAAAAACACACACATAATCACATCACAGTGGGCAGGGAGAAAGTACTTTCCCATTTAAAAAGCAAAAACACACATAAAAGTGTATTATAGTATACTCGCTATTACATGTACTATAACAAGAATCAGTAAGTCTTGTAAATTTGTTTTTTCTAAGTTTTAAAATGTTAAGTATGTATTTTAGCATCCATGGAACATGTATTCCTTTTGTGTAAACATTCTTATAGCTTAATTTGGATACTGTATTTGGGGCCATTGATAGTGTATTATATGTGTGCTTCAGTTTTCATTCCATGTTTAATTGGGAACTGTGTAAAAGCTTGAGAAGGGGATAATCCTTTTGGTACAAACCCAGTTTGGAATATAAGGTTCTTTACTCTTTTTCCTTTTTTAAAGAAAAGTGTTAAAGCTAGGTAGTGGTGAGTTACAGGACAGCTAGGGCTGTCTCAAAAAAAATAAGAAAAACAGGATAGAGAAGAAAACTGTTAAAAGGGATATTAGAAATCTTATAAAATGATGAAAGGATTATTAAATTATATTTTCAAAGCCATTGGTCATACTGATACATAAACTCAAACACACGCAGTGTAATACAATTGCCTGACTTTTTTTGTTTTGTTAACTATTCTCCTAATTATTAACTACATTTTTACTTGAATTCTGTTTTTGTTGTTACAAAATTTTGTTATCACAATTTATTAATAATTTTATTATCACAAATCAAAATTATTGCAATACTTGTTTTTTATTTCCTTTTTGCTATCTTACATTTTAAAAATAATTTCTAACACAGTCTATTGAAGGGAAGTTAACTAATTTTCTGTGTTTCCTAAACCAGAGATATCAAAGCAGGAAATATCCTTCTGACAGAACCAGGCCAGGTGAAACTTGCTGACTTTGGATCTGCTTCCATGGCTTCCCCTGCCAATTCTTTTGTGGGAACGCCATATTGGTAAGAATGGTCTTATCTGCTATTGGTGCTCATAATTAAAATAAGCAGTATTTTATACTTTCTATAATATCATTTTCTTGAAAATATGCTATCATGTTGGACTTTAATTGAGGATGATGTGCATCCCTGATCCTCTTCCTTCTGGGTTTTTTTTTTCCCCCTCCCCGAGACAAGGTTTCTCTGTAGCTTTGGAGCCTGTCCTGGAACTAGCTCTTGTAGCCCAGGCTGGCCTTGCACTCACAGAGATCATGCCTGCCTCTGCCTCCTGAGTGCTGGGATTAAAGACCACCACCAGGCTCCTCTTCCTTCTGTTTTATGAGAGCAAATTTACTTTGTATTACTACTTAGACTGGTAGGTGATTTGGAGGGGTTTTGCTATTTTGAATTTTCTGCATGAGGAATTTCAGATGTCCAAAAAAATAGAAGTGTGATGAGGTTTTTCTTCCTAATTACCCAGCCCAGTAACCTTTATCACATGGTTAATTCTGCCTTCTCTACTTTCTACCCCAGATATTTTCTCTTGAAATTCTAGGTAATATCTGCTTTGGTCTTTGAATAATTTTATATGTATCTGTCAGTGAAAATTTGAAGGAAATATATTTTCAGATATTTAAACTTCCATGTGTCAACTTAAAAGTACCTCTTTTCACATCATCCTGTTTTGTTTTGTTTCTAATCTGTCTTTGAAATCTCTCTTATTTTATAAAAGAAAGACTTGGGGCTGGAGAGATGGCTTAGAGGTTAAGAGTATTGCCTGCTCTTCCAAAGGTCCTGAGTTCAATTCCCGACAACCACATGGTGGCTCACAACCATCTGTAATGGGGTCTGGTGCCCTCTTCTGGCCATACACACAGACAGAATATTGTATACACAATACATACATACATACATACATACATAAATATTTTAAAAAATAAATAAAAGAAAGACTTGATTAAATGGTATATTGCTCTGGAATGTAAAGTGTCAAAAGCATATTAGACATTTGTGACTGTCCAGTTTCTAAAACATTAAAGGGTCAGGATACAATTTTATGGCCAGGCCTGTGCCTGCCTTTTCATTTCAGGTAAAACAACTGACAGTGTTGCCCATGGCAAACATCAATATTTCAGACAAGTATTAGAATTTTGTAATGAAATTCTGAGAGCTTACTTTGGGATTTTCCTGTTGGAATGTTGTTGAATGATCATGACAGATGGCGAGAATGAGTATCATGTTTTCTGAGCATTGCTAAATACATGCATCACAACTTCTAATTTGTTTCCCCTTGTAAAAATTTTTTGTTTACATATATTGACTGGAGTTCAATCCAATGTTATTTATGTTGATGGAGCTTATATTCTCAAAGTTTTGTTGAATTGAATATTGTATGTTTTAGGATGGCCCCAGAAGTAATTTTAGCCATGGATGAAGGACAATATGATGGTAAAGTTGATGTATGGTCTCTTGGAATAACATGTATTGAATTAGGTAAGTATTGTTTTTTATTACTAGGGATTAATTTTTTTTTTTTTTGAATCTCACTGTGAAGCCCCCACGATTGTTCTATAACTTGCTATGTAGACCAGAGTGGCTTTAAACTCACAAAGATCCCCCTGTCTCTGCTTCCTGAGTGCTAAGATTAAAAGTGAGCCACCACACCTACCTGAATTAAGTTTTGAGCCAGTTTTTTCAGTTACCATATTAAATTAGATTTTTGTCTGAGATCTCAATTTTTTGAAAAATAATTGGTTTTATATGTGTATAGGTATTTTTCTCTGCCTGAATGCGTGAGTTCCATGCATGTGCCTGGTATCTGGTATCCAGGGAGACCAGAAGAGAGTATGTTGGATCCTTGGGACTGTAATTACCGATGGTTCTGAACCTCTATGTAGGTGCTAGGAATTGAACTCAGGTTTTCAGGAAGAACAGGCAGTTCTCTTAACTCTTGAGCCATCTCTTCAGCCTCAAATTTAAGGGGGAAAAAATAAATCATTTAAAACTTTTACTTTGATCATCTGGTAATTTCTATGTTAACCTAATATATATTGGATAAAATATATTTGCTATTAGTTCAAAAATAACTTTTCACTGTTGTCTTAAATATCTGTCTGACATTAATGTTTGTTTAACACTTACAATGTACCAACTATTACTATATTTTCTTTCCACAGAATGTTTCTTAGTCATTTATGAATCATTCATTACTATATATGTTACTTTTTTTTTTGAGACAGAGTTTCTCTGTGTAACAATAGCAGTAGAACTCTCTTTGTAGACCAGGCTGCCTTCAAACTCAGAGATCTGCCTGCCTCTGCCTTCTTGAGTGCTGGGATTAAGGTGTGTGCCACCACTGTCCTGCAAGTTAGTTACTTTTAAATTTAGAAATTAGATGTCCAAACTGCCCTTTTGGGTAGGCCTTGACTCCTGTTATGGTGGAGGATTACAAATTCAAGGTCTTCCTGACAAAAGAGGGAATTCAAAGTAGCCTGGGAAATTTAGTAAGACCTGCAAAAGACAGTAAGCCAGACTTTATTCAAGTGGAACCATAGTGATATAGGTATGTAGTGTGGGTTAGAATTGGGAAAACATACATGCACAATAATAAATGTTAAGACCTCTGAAATTAAGAAAATAAATTTGGCCAGGCGTATGCCACCATGCCTTTATTATCCAGCACTGGAGAATAGAAGACAGGCAGGCAGGGCTGGAGAGATGGCTCAGTGGTTAAGAGCATTGCCTGCTCTTCCAAAGGTCCTGAGTTCAATTCCCAGCAACCACATGGTGGCTTACAACCATCTGTAAAGAGGTCTGGCTCCCTCTTCTGGCCTTCAGGCATACAGACAGAATATTGTATACATAATAAATAAATAAATAGATATTAAAAAAAAAAAAGACAGGCAGGCATATTTCTGAGTTTGAGACCTTCTTGGTCTACATAGTAAGAGTTCCAGGCAACCAGGGCCACATAGTGAGAGCCTGTCTTTTAAAAAATAATTCTTTTGTTTAAATGAAATTTAGATAGTTTATAAGAATGTGAGAAGTTGGTGGTATAGTTTGGTTGGTGTAGTGTACGTATTCATGAAGCCTTGTGTTTGGTACCAGTAGCCTAGAGACCAAGCATGATAGCATATGCCTATAATCCCATAACTCAGGAGAGTCAGGAGCTACATGATGATTTAGAGTGCAGCCTGGTCTACAAGAGATTCTTTATCAAAAAAAAAAAAGAAAAAAAGAAAAAGAAAAGAAAAGAAAGAAAGGAGATCGAGACAAGTCCTGATGACACATATGGTAATGCCAGCATTTGGGTAGAAGGTTTAGGAGAATCTTTATTTGACCTACATAGTGATGTCCAAGTCAGTCAATGCTGCATAGGGATACACTGGATTTCAAAAAATCTTGGCTCTATAAAAATATATATAGACTAGGCTGGCTGAGATAGATCACAGAGATCTGCCTGCCTCTGCCTCCAGAATACTGGGATTAAAGGTGTGAAGCACCATGTTCATCAAAAAAGAAAAAAAAATTAGACTAAAATTGTCTGTTTGAAGGGCTAGAGATACAGCTCTGTTGGTAGATTCACTCTACCTAAGTGAAACCCGGGGTTTGATTCCCCTGAACCATATAAAACTAAGAATGAGGCAGAATGGTTAGAAATTCAAAGTCATCCACAACTATATAAGGAAGTTTGCACCTCTCCTGAACTATAAAACCTAGAAGAGATGAGAATAGAGGTCAGCTGAATCTACCTAATTGAAGACCTTAGTAATAACAGAAATGGATATTATTCTTCCATTCATTCCAAATATCTTCAGTATTCCTTTTCTCTTTCCCTATAGTTCTTGTCCCTCAACCCCTTTGTTTCTAGATTGTGTTTCTCTGTGTATTCCTGACTGTCCTGGAACTTACTTTGTAGCCTAGGCTGGAACTCAGAGATCCGCCTACCTCTTCTGCCCAAGTGCTGGGATTAAAGGTGTATACCTCCACTGCCTGGTTTCCTATAGTATTCTTCAAACTACTATGTGAGGTAGAATATAGATAACCTGTTAGCCAGTGAACCAACTGTGCTAACCTAAAGTGGATGTCAGATTTGAGTGTAGTAGTGAGTTCCTGTAACATAGTATGAAATTAGAAATGGATAAGGAGTATGTGTGCGAGAGGAAGGTTCAGTGTGGAGATTAAAAGGTCTTGTAGAGTTAGTAAAGCATTCATTTCTGGAGATGACTTAAGAGTTATTAGAGATCAAGGAAGGTAGGGAAGAGAGTTAGTGTTTATAGAAGCAATCCATATTTGGGATAACCTAGTATAGCCAAATAAAAATGATGGGAACTTACCCTAATGAGGCATTCCTCACTGCAGAGAAGAGACTTGGTTTGCCTGAGATGTCAGAAACCAAAAAGTTATTCTCACTGTTTGGAATAGGGCATTGGCAGAGAGTGACAGCAGAAATACTGCCTTGGTTACACACAAAAGCAGATTATCAAATAAACAGTAAAGTCTCAGTATGATGATTCATGCCTATAATCACAGCACTTGGGAGACTGAAATAAAAGGATTGCCATGAAGTCTAGGTAAGCCTGCACTGCAGAAGAAGACTAAAATCGGGTGAAAGGCAAGGGAGGAGGTAGTAGGAATAATATTTGCCATTGTTAAAGTACAGTGTAGCAAATACTGTGGTTTTGGATTGAAATTAGAGATGAAATGCTGAATTATTCTTTGTTTTTTTCTTTTGTTTTTGATTTTGATTTTTTTTTGAGGCAGGGTCTCATGTAGCAGACTGTTTTGAAGTTCACTATGTATACCAGGCTGCTGACTCTGCCTCCTGAGTGCTGAGACTAAAGGCTTGCACTACTACACCTGGCTATTATTTTTAATAATGTAGAAAGAAATGTGTTATATGTGTCTGTTAAGTTTTTGCATGTGTCCTTTAATTCTGTCTGTTGAAAAGATGTAAAAATGGGGGGCTGGAGAGATGGCTCAGAGGTTAAGAGAACTGACTGCTGTTCCAGAGGTCCTGAGTTCAATTCCCAGCAACCACATGATGGCTCACACCCATCTATAATGATATCTGGTGCCCAGAACACTATATACATAATAAATAAAAATTAAAAAAAAAAGATGTAAAAATGGGCCAGAGAGATGACTTAGCTCTAAAGAGCCCTTGCTGCTTTTGCAGAGAACCAGACTTTAGTTCTCATCATTATTATCAGGTGGTTCACAATTGCCTATAACTCCACTGCCAGGGAATCTAACACCCTCTTCTGGTGTCAATGGCTGTCTACAACTCAGGGAGTCATTTCTTTTTCCTTCTATCATGTGGGTTTTGGTGGATTGAATTCAGGTTATCAGGCATGGTGGCAAGTGCTTTCACCCACTGAGCAATTTCACCTTTTAGAAACATCTGAACTCATGATAAACAAATAACAGAATAATAAAGTAAGATCAAAATAAAAACTCAGTTAATCTACAGAGCTAGTTCCAGGACAGGCTCCAAATCCACAGAGAAACCCTGTCTCGAAAAACCAAAAAAAAAAAAAAAAAACCCCAGTTAAGCAGAAAATTGAAAAATAGAAAACATCATTGAAACTAAAATCTGGCTACTTATGAAAGTCATTAAAATTGATAAACCTTTTTTCATTTTGGTTAGAAAAAAGATACAAATTTCTAATATTAGGAACGAGAGAAACCAGGTGTGATAGATCACATTTATAAATCTAAGATTTAGGAAACTGACGGTAGGTGAATCACCATGGTTTGGAGCTAGTCTGGCCATGTAGCGAGTTCCGGTTAGCCTGGTCTATAGTGTGAGACATTGTCTAAAAAGTAAGATCAAAGATAGGGGCTGTGAATGAGAAATAACAATTAATATTGATTATTAAAGATTATGTAGGGGACTAAACAGATGCACTAACAGTTTAAAGTACTCATACTACTCTAGGGGATCTGACATCCTCTCCTGGTTTCTTATATACATACCCTATGCAGACTCAAACAAATAATTTTAAAATAGCAGCAAAAATAAAAGAAAATGAGGGCCAGGGGAGATGTGAATAGGACACTTGCTTTGTAAATATGGCCAGAGTACAAATCTCAGCACACAGGAGGCAGATACAAGCGAATCTCTGTGAGTTTGAGGCCAGTCTGGTCTACAGAGTGAGTTCCAGGACAGCCAAGGCTACACAAAGAAACCAGGCTTGCAAAACAAAACAAAAAAAGAAATCCCTGTGTTAGGGCAATAAAGGAACACACTGATCCATATGCAAAGGTGTGTATAACCATGTGTATCCCCAAAAATGATACGAAAATATGAACAGTTTTCTGTCTGAATTTGAAGACTCGATGTAGTGGTCTGATTCCTTGACAGACACAGATGATTAAAACTACATATGGCAATATTGATTAGGGTTTTGGAACCAAACTTCAATGGAGTTTGCTATCAGGTGACTCTAACACCATTGAGTGGCACAATTTAATGCATATCATGTGGTTTTTATGAAAATGTTCTTATATATATTCAAGTATTTAGGGATGGTGGACCATCAGAGCAAGCAGTTTATCTCAATTGAGTCACATTTAAAAGTTCTTTGTAGGAGCTGAAAAAACTGCACAGCTGTTAAAGTTGCTCTTCCAGAGTACCTGAGTTCTATTCCTAGCACCCACATGGTGGCTCACAGCTATCTGTAATGGGATCTGATGTCTTCTTCTGGTGTTTGTGAAGACGGATCACTCATATACATAAAATAAATAAATAACCAGGCAGTGATGGTGCAAGCCTGTAATCCCAGTACTCTGGAGTCAGAGGCAGGTGGACGGGTCTCTAAGTTCAAGGCCAGTCTGGTCTAAAGAATTCCAGGACAGGCTCCAAAGCTACAGAGAAACCATCTCAAAAACAAACAAACAAAAAAACCCAAACCACAACAAAAATAAATAAATAGATACATATATATATATATATATATATATACATTCATATTTTTAAAGAGAAGTTCTTTGTGGCCAGGTGTTCTGGTGTTCCTGAAGACAGATCGCTCATATACATAAAAATAATAAATAGCCGGGCGGTGGTGGTGGATGTTTTTAATCCCAGCATGTGGGAGGCAGATGCAGGTGGTTCCCTACAAGTTCGAGGTCGGCCTGGTCTACAAAGTGAGTTCTAGGACAGTCAGGGCTGTTACACAGAGAAACTCTGGCTTCCAAAACAACTAAATAAAAAAGGTCTTTCTACAATTTTTTTAATTAAGCTTAAAGTTGTTTTCAAAGTGTGTTCTTTAAAATTTAATCAAAAATTTGATCAACATTTTACTATTCTTATATATTCATATTTTAACAAAAGGGTTTCTTCTCTTTCATAGCGGAGAGAAAGCCTCCTTTATTTAATATGAATGCAATGAGTGCCTTATATCACATAGCCCAAAATGAATCCCCTACACTACAGTCTAATGAATGGTGAGTATTCCCACCATTGATTAACGTTTTGAAAATTTTGTAAATATTGATAAAATATAAATTGTTATCAATATGATTCAATTTTATGTAAGTAAATGTACTACTTGAAAAATAAGTAGGTTTACTTTTTCATTAAATTTTTGGAGCACAAATAATCCTAATAATTTTTTGAAAAATATTTATTTATTATGTATATCATATTCTGTCTGTGTATATGCCTACAGGCCAGAAGAGGGCACCAGACCCCATTACAGATGGTTGTGAGCCACCATGTGGTTGCTGGGAATTGAACTCAGGACCTTTGGAAGAGCAGGCAATGCTCTTAACCTCTGAGCCATCTCTCCAGCCCCTAATCCTAATAATTTAATAGTGTTTTTAAGCATTAATTTTTACAACAAAATGTATAGATTGTTATAACCTGTTGTGATAATTATTTGATAGATTATCATTTACATTATAAAAGACATAGGTAAGATGGTATGATTTTTTTTTTCTTTCAAAATTGTTAGTTTATCTAAAACCTTGGGAACACTCTAGCTAACTATGTTATTCTCATTTCTCTGATTTTTCTTCTGGTGTGTAGTCTTTGACTTGATAAAACTTCATATTAAGTAGTATGTGGAGAAGAGATTAACAAGTTTAGACTAGAATTGTTATGAGTTGAAAAAAATTGTGCATTAGTTACTTTTCTCATTTCTGTAACAAAAGGCAAGTTAAGGAAGAGGTTATTAGAAATGACAGTTTAAGGATATAGTCCATCATGATGGGGAAGGCATGGTGGTAGGAACTTGATACATTGTGTCTTCAGTGAGGAATTGCATAGAGATTGATCCTGGAGCTCCGTTTGCCTTGCCCTATTTATTCATCCTGGACTACAGCCCATGGGATGGTGCCATCTACATTCAGAGTGGGTCTTCCTCAGTTGTACCTTCCTGGAAGCACCCTCATAGATCCACTCAGGTGTGTTTCCGTGGTAATTCTAAATTCTCTTCAGTTGATAGAATTAGCCATTACCCTTGTCAGCATTACACTTCTTTCCCCTAAAGTGGCATGTTCATTTCTTAATACAAAATATTATTTTATCTCTGAAAGTTTCCATAGTCTTTAACAGTTCCAACATTATATAAAAACCCACTGCCTGAGGTCTCTTCTGAGAGGTAAGGTAAACTTGTGATCACTTGTACAATGAAAAACAATTTTCCGTGATCCCTGCCTTTAGGAGGATGAGGCAGGAGGATTACTTCAAGTTCAAGTCCAGCCTGGGCTATAGTGTGAAACCCTTTCTCAAAAAACAAACAACAACAACAAAATTCGTTACCATTTTAATATTGGGGATAAACATTGATGGAATAATTATTGGATGATCACTGAACTCCCATGAACAATACTATAATGACACATTATAGGCTTTTAATATTTTAAAAATATATCTATTGGTTTTCTAGATTTTTAATAGAAGCCTTATCCTTTTGGTCAGGGTCAGCAATTGCTCAGGTGTTTAAAAATGCTCTTTTCTCCTGGTCTACAGAGTGAGTTTCAGAACTACTGAAAAGATCTGTCTTGAAAAACTAAACAAACAAAATGTTCTTCTCCAGAGGGAATAAGAGTTATATTCTAAACATGTTCTATAGAAAACAATCCAAAGTACAAATAAAAAGATAATTAAAGGGAGGAGTCTGGTATTTGAATGGAGAAAAACCCTGGATGGCCTTTGTTCCTTTTGACTCAATATTGAGTGATTTCTGATAGATAAATCTGTGAAACAGGATTTTTTCTAGCTAAGTATACAGTCTGCCATGGCACTACCCCCAGCCTAGGATTTTTAAATGTTCTGTGTTAGTCTATTTTTGGAAAATTTTAACAGTAATTGGTTGCTTTGGATCACCTTGAATAGATAAAATTATATTATCATTTCTTTTCCATTCTTCCTCCCGTGAGTAGGCTTAAGCCTTTTGGATGTGTTTTTAAAGGAAATAGCAATATGTTCACTTGATACTTTCTTTACAATAGGTCTGATTATTTTCGCAACTTTGTAGATTCTTGCCTCCAGAAAATCCCTCAAGATCGCCCTACATCAGAGGAACTTTTAAAGGTCAGTTTATAAAACTCTATTATCTTTAACCCTTAGAAAACTATTTAAAATTGCTTTGTTGGTTTTTTTTCTCAATCAGGATTAACTATATTAGTTTTCAATAAAATATGAAATTTGGGGCCAGTGAGGTAGCTCAGTACGGGCACTTTTTTCCAGTGCTAAGAACTTGCATTGAATCCCTGAAATCCACATGGTTGAAAGGCGAGAACTAATTTCAGCATACATGTTTGTGTTGTGTTCCCCCTTCATAAATAATAAACACATGTAATCAAGGCTTTGTAGTTCTAAAACAACAATTTAAAGTTTTTGTTGTTGTTGTTGTTTTCCAGTGCTGGCACTAGAATGGGACTACATATTAAGCATGTACTGTTATTCAGCTATTTTCCCCAGGCTATTTAAATATTAATTTTTGCTTTATGAGATAGTGTCTCAACTCTATAGCTGTGACTGTCCTGGAAATTACCATATAGACACCAGGCCTTGAGTTCAGAGATCCCCCTGCCTCTGCCTCCTAAGTGCTGATATGAACCACCCACTCTGCTAAAAATACTAATATTTTTATATAATTATCTCTTGAAACATGTATTTGTGATTCTGGGTATTGAACTCAGGACTTTGAGTGTAGTAGGTCGGCGTTTTCCTAATTGAGCAATACCCCTAGGCCTTGGTAACTTACCTTAGATACTGTATTTTTGTTTTAAAGATTTTTTTTTGGGTGTTGGGGGGGGGGAGTGCACAAATGAGTGAGACAGGGGTGGGTGGGAGAGGGAGGTATTTCTTCTGAGGCAGGATCTCAGCTAGGCTAGAAGCTAGCGAGGCTTACTGCTCCTCCTCCATTTATAAGCACTTCAGCTTGTTATGGATGCTGGCATCCAAACTCTTAACTCACTTAGCAATGAAATACTATAAAAATTATGTAGCTTTAGATTGACAAGATGACCTAGTGAGTTAAGGCAGTTGCTACCAAACCTGAAGAACTGAGTGCTATCTCTGGAACTCATATTATAAAAGGAGAAAACTGACTCTTAAGAGGTTGTCTTCTGTCCTCCACATAGAATTTTACTGATTTTAATGTAGTGTTTTTTTGCTTTTTGGTTTCCCTCCCTCCCTCCCTCCCTCCTTCCCTACCTTCTCCTTCATCTCTCTCTCCCTCTCTCCTTCCCTCCCCAAGGTCTCATCATGCTTTGTCTGGTATAGAACGCAATATATAGACCAGACTGACCTTGCACTCTCAGAGATTCTCCTGTTTGCCTTCCCACTACAGGGGTTAAAAGTGTCTGAGAAAATGAATGAATAAATAAATAATATTGCATCTTGACGAGGTAGTAATGCGCATTTGACTCTAGCTAGTTGTTTTTACAAGATTTATATAAACTTTATTTATTTATTTATATGTGCAGTTGTGTTTTGCCTGCATGTATGTTTGTGTGAGGGTGTCAGATCCCCTGGAATTGGAGTTATAGGCAGATATGAGCTGCCACGTGAGTGCTGGGAATTGATCCCGGGTCCTCTTGAAGAGCAGCCACTGCTCTTAACCACTGAGCCATCTCTCCGGCCCTCTATATGAACTATTTTTACATAATTTTTTCACCTACAGATGTCAGCTAAATTAAACTACAACAAATATACATACATACATTTGATAATATTGTTCAATCACATTATATAGAAAAACAGTAAAAATTTTCCATACTGCTTTTTTTTTTTTTTTTTTTTTTTTTTGTGGTTTTGGAGCCTGTCCTGGAACTAGCTCTGTAGACCAGGCTGGTCTCGAACTCACAGAGATCCGCCTGCCTCTGCCTCCCGAGTGCTGGGATTAAAGGCGTGCGCCACCACCGCCTGGCTTCCATACTGCTTTTGTAGTTCCAAGTAATAAGCTCACCTATGGTCTCAGAAATAAAAGCTTGGCCAACTGAGTACTCACACTAGCAACACATTTTAATAGTCTGGGCATGGCTGTTTATGCCTGTAATTCAGCACAAGGAGGACCACGAGTTCAAAGCCAGCATTTGACTGTAACAAGAAAAAGAAATCCATAATGTCTAAGTTCTTATTACTTAATTTATTGATAATAAGTTTTCCTAGTTGAATCAAGCATGGTTTTTTTTTGTTTTGTTTTTTGTTTTTTTTTTTTAGAATTTATTAGCTTTGATAATTTCAACTGTATTTTCATTGGCCAACTAAATATATCATGATGAGGATTTTATTCAAGAGTATTTATGAAGGTACAAGTTGAATGTGGAAATTACTACTTTCTAAGTATCAGAGTCATAGATGTAATAGAATTAAATAGTTATAGATTGTATAAATTGTGTATCATAGGGTAATAACTGTAGATTGAAAAAGGAATATATTTGAACTAATTAGGAAAAAAAGTAACTTTTTTTTTTTTTAATTTTCTGCTCTTCCAGCACATGTTTGTTCTTCGAGAGCGCCCGGAAACAGTGTTAATAGATCTCATTCAAAGGACAAAGGATGCAGTAAGAGAGCTGGACAATCTGCAGTATCGAAAAATGAAGAAACTTCTTTTCCAGGAGGCACATAATGGACCAGCGGTAGAAGCACAGGAAGAAGAGGAGGTATAATTGCCCAAATTTTTAGTTGCATTTATTATTGATTTCTTACACTACTTGTTCAGCCAAACATACTTTTTATATCCCTGGTTCCAGTATATTGTGCTCTTATCATTGATGCTCTGAAATTCTAGTTATGAACAAAGGTCTTTAATGTTATTTTAGGGGTATGGGATTTATCTCATTTGTAGAGCAGTTGGATCCTGGGTTTGGTCTTGAGCTCAAAAAAAAAAAAAAGAAATTTTGTTACTATATACTTTCTATCAAACCCTTTATATTGTATAGTAAAGGATACAAGAAGTCTTTTATTAAAGAAACCTGTTTGTGTTCATCAGGCTTTTTTCTCCTTTAATCTATAATTGAGAAAAGATTTAGATATTGTAATTTAATGCTTTTTTCCTTTAGGAGCAAGATCATGGTGTTGGCCGGACAGGAACAGTGAATAGTGTTGGAAGTAATCAGTCTATTCCCAGTATGTCTATCAGTGCCAGCAGCCAAAGCAGCAGTGTTAACAGTCTTCCAGATGCCTCGGATGACAAGAGTGAGCTTGACATGATGGAGGGAGACCATACAGTGATGTCTAATAGTTCTGTCATCCACTTAAAACCTGTGAGTATTGCCTTTTCCTGGGAGGAGAAAAACAACAACAAAAAAAACACCTCAACTTTGATCCATCATTTTCTTTGACTGATTAATTCAAGAGGTTTTTTGGCACACACCTGAATCCCAGCACTTGGAAGAATCAGGAATTTAAGGGCTGCCTCAGCTACACAGTAAATTTGAGGCTGGCTATATGTGACTCTGTGTTTCATCACCATCACCACTGTCCTTTAAAAAAGGAAAAAAGAGGGCTGGAGAGATGGCTCAGTGGTTAAGAGCATTGCCTGCTCTTCCAAAGGTCCTGAGTTCAATTCCCAGCATCCACATGGTGGCTTACAACCATCTGTAAAGAGGTCTGGCGCCCTCTTCTGGCCTTCAGGCATACAGACAGAATATTGTATACATAATAAATAAATAAATAAATATTAAAAAAAATTAAAAAAAAAAGGAAAAAAGAGAGCTGGAGAGATGGCTCAGAGGTTAAGAGCACTGATTGCTCTTCCAGAGATCCTGACTTCAATTCTCAGCAACCATGTGGTGGCTCACAGCCATCTTTAATGAGATCTGGTGCCCTCTTCTGGCATGCAAGCATACATGGAAGGAATGTTGTATACATAATAAATAAATTAAAAAAAAAAACAAAACCAGTTCCTGTATGCTAGAGAGCTGGCTCAGTGATTAAGATCATTTGTTGCTTTTTCAGAGGACTGAGTTTGTTTCTTTGCATCCACAACAAGCAACTGTGTCGCAGGTCCAAGGGATATAATGCCCTCTTCTGGACTCGATGGACATATCTGCATTCAAAATGTAAAGATAATTGTGTATGTGCATATTCATGTACACAAACAAAATCTTTAAAATTCAGGGTTACATAGAGGACAACATCCTCCCACCCCATGCCCAGAAAAGCAAACTCTTTAGATCAGTTTTGTTTTCCATAGCAATGGTCTGAAGTGTTAATCTGTTACCTGGATTTGGGAAATTGCTGTTTTGAAATACAAAAAGACATGAAACTATTTTAGAATAAAAAAATATATATTACATAACCTATGGTTGGAATATTTGGGAATATCGAGAATATATATTTGAAATTTATGAATAGTAGCAATTAGAAAATAAAATAGTTGCTGGGTGGCGGTGGCACACGCCTTTAATCCCAGCACTCAGGGAGGCAGAGGCAGAGGCAGAGGCAGGTGGATCTCAGTGAGTTTGAGGCCAGCCTGGTCTACAAGAGTTAGTTCCAGGAGCTGCACCAAAAACTACAGAGAAACCCTGTCTCAAAAATTCAAAAGAGAAAAAAATGAAATAGTTGATTTTCTTTTAAACTTAATTTTATTTTTTTAATAGTTGATTATAAATGAGCCAGAAGCAACTTTTGTAGTATTCCTCCCGCCCCCCCCCCTTTTTTTTTCGAGGCAGGATTTCTTTGTGTGACCACCCTTGCTGTTATAGAACTGTGTAGACCAGGTTGGTCTTTGAACTCATAGAAATCTGCTTGTCTCTGCCTCTTGAGTGCTGGGATTAAAGGTATATTTCACCACTGCGTATCAGTATCCATTTTTATCTTTAAAATACAACAATAAATTTGCAAATTTAGGATTTAGTATATGTCAATGTTTGCTATATTCTCTGCTGAATTTTTTGAGCATGTCATATGTTGGTATGTTTCCACATGTCGAGGCCCCAGATTGAACACTTTTCGTTGATCACTCTCTCCACCTTAGCTTAGAAGCAAGGTCTCTCAGTTGTACTGTCTTCCCAGTTCTCCTTTGCAGTTTTAAGTGTAAATTAAATGTGGTAGAGTGCTGTCCTACCATACATGTGACCCTGAATTCAGTTCAAAGCAGGCTGGGTTGGTCATCTTTGATTCAGTTCTCAATACTAGGAAAAAAAGACAAGACAGGTAACTCTTGGCAGGAGAACTTAATATAGAAATGTTCTGACAAACAGTAGTGGTTCACACCTCTAATCCTAGTACTGTGGAGGCAGAGGAAGGTGGATCTCTGTGAGTTTGAGGCCAGCATGGTCTACAAAACAAGTTCCAGGACAACTAGGGCTGTTAAACAGAGAAACCTGGAACAACAACAGCAACAAAAACATGTTCTTAAGATTTCTGGGTTTTTAAAGACTGAGTTTTGCTGCCTAGCCCTGACCGATCTTAAACTTACAGTAGTCCTCCTTCCCCTCCATCTGAGAATGATCTTTTTAATTTTAAAGCTGTGGTTTTATCTAGAAGTTATTAGACACAATTACTAAGAAGTGGGAACAACCACATGCCTACCAACAAATGGGGTGAATAAATTATAGTGTGTGTGTGCACGCGCGTGTGCGTGCGCGCGCACACACACACACACACAGACACAGACACACACACACACATTTAGGGTTTTATTGCTGTGAAGACACCAAGATCAGGGGAACTCTTATCAAGGAAAATATTTAATTGGGGCTGGTTTGCAGATCAAAAGTTTAGTTTCAGTATCTCCATTGGAGGGAGATGCGTGGTGCACACACCTTTAATCCCAGCACTCGGGAGGGGAGGCAGAGGCAGGTGGATCTCTGAGTTTGAGGCCAGCCTGGTCTACAAGAGCTAGTTCCAGGACAGGCGCCAAAGATACAGAGAAACCCTGTCTCGAAAAAAAACAAAAAAAAAAGAAAGAAAGAAAGTAAGTTTCTATTTGAGGTGTGATATAAAGTGTTGATAAATTTATAACATTGAAAATGTAATTGGTGCCAATTGTAATGGCCAAAGGAAAAATTGTTAACTTCTTTTTTAATGACAAGGTTTGGCTATGTGGCCTTGGCTGACCTGTAACTTAAAAGAGATCTTACTGGGGCTGAAGAGATGTCTCAGCCGTTAAGAGCACTGGCTGCTCTTCCAAAGATCCTGAGTTCAATTCCCAGCAACCACATGGCAGCTCATAACTGTCTAACAGGGTATCTGGCACTTTCACACAGACATACATGTAGGCACATAAAATAAAAATTAATACATTTTAAAATAAATGAAAATAAATCTTAAAAAACATTAATTGCTGTGTGGCTGTGGTGCATCTCTTAAAATTGTTTATTTTAGACAAATGACAGAAATATTATAAATAATCTTAAACTTATAGTTTGACATGTCTATAATCAAAACACAACAAAGTAGTATTACACTGCATTGCTTATAAAACTCACACGTATTTAATTTTTTAGTCACCATCATTTGAAACATTGATTACATGCTATACTATTTTGTTTTTAAGTTACATTAAAGCTTTTCAGTTTTATTTTTATTTTAAAATATGTGTATATGTGAGGGTACATACAAATGAGTAGAGTTGCCAGAGGTGTCAGATCCCCTGAAGCTGGAGTCAAAGGTGTTTATAAGCCGCCCGATGTGTGCTGGGAATTAAACTTGGGTCCTGTGCAAGAATTGCTGTTTATCACTGAGCAATCTCTCCAGCTCAAGCTTTTCGGTTGATATATAATATATAGAATATAAAACTGTATATTTTGTTTGTTGAATCTGTACTTTTTCACACACTATGGAAGTAATTTCAGCTAACTCAGCTTGTGTTGACAATAATAGTATTTTTAGTTTCTCTTTCTGCTTTGTAAAATTGTGTTTTTTTGAAATTATTGATTAAAATTGTCTTTAGTCTTTTCCTTGAAACCTCAAAAAATTCACTTTACAAAATATTTTCTCTGTCACTCTCTTTTTCTATTAAGGAGGAGGAGAATTATAGAGAAGAAGGAGATCCTAGAACAAGAGCATCAGATCCACAGTCTCCACCTCAAGTGTCCCGTCACAAATCACATTATCGTAATAGAGAACACTTTGCAACCATACGAACGGCATCACTGGTATGTATTCACCTGTCCAAAACGAGTATCTTTGTTATGTTGGTAGTATCTACTCAAATATATTTAACTTTCTTATTTCTTTGGTATTTATTTTGTAAAACATTCAGTGTTTAATTTCCCTGTTAGAAGAAAGCACTCTAAGTAATATTGAACTAGTAATGTATTAATATTTATTCATGTAGTAAATATTTTAGAATGTGTAAGAGACCTACAAAATACTAATTAAACAGGCATTCAAATAAATTTTAATACTTTTTTTTAAGTAGTATCAAGTTGTTAGGTTTTAGGCACAGAGAAGAGAATCAGTGTATTGCTGCATAAAATTAACATTTCAGATGTGTTAGCACAAACTTTGTTCAAGATATATATCTAGAGTTGCCAAAAAGAAGGAACTGTTGAAAATTGCAGTTGATTGTATTACTATGCTCTAAATGTAATTTCTGTTTTCCAAAAAAACAATGAATATGGATATTTTTCCATTACATATTATGGAACATTTAAAATCATGTTCCAGCCGTTCTTGCCGGTCTTCATTGCTAAGCCTGTCCACTTTTTTGAGTTCTAACCAAAAAAGTATAATGTTTCCTTTTCTGTTTCTTGGGATACTGGCCAAAGTCATAAACATGATTGCTTTGATAGTCTCACTTTTCCTCCAAAGATCCCCACTGATAAAAAATACATAAAATTGTAAGAGATTTTAAAAGTAACCAGTTGTGGTACATGTCTTTAATCCCAGATGTCTGAGGCAGGTGGATCTCTGTGAGTTTGAGACCAGCATGGTAAATAGCCCAGCCATGGCTGCACAGTGAGACCCTGTAGAGCAAAGCATGGTAAAAGATTCTCAAGTTAAAAGGAAAGTACATAAAGATAACATGATTATGTTATTAGAATATATAGCATGACTGCTGGGCTGTGGTGGTGCATGCCTTTAATCTCAGAAGGCAGAGGCAGGCAGAAACAACAACAAAAGAGAATATATAGCATAGTGGCATATGCCTGTAATTCTAGCACTTAAAAGATTGATAGAGAAGGATCTCGAGTTCAAGACCAATCTGAGCTACCTAGTTGAGATCTTGTCTGAAGAAAACAAAACAAAGCAAGGGTTGACAATTTACATCAATAGTAGAGCACTTAAATCATTTACTCCAAACCTTTACCCAAACACCACACATCAAAATAAAGCTTTCTAGCCGGGCGGTGGTGGCGCACGTCTTTAATCCCAGCACTCGGGAGGCAGAGGCAGGCGGATCTCTGTGAGTTCGAGACCAGCCTGGTCTACAAGAGCTAGTTCCAGGACAGGCTCCAAAACCACATAGAAACCTTGTCTCGAAAAATCAAAAAAAAAAAACAAAAAACAAAAAACAAAATAAAGCTTTCTGAGTTGTCTGGTTTGCCAGTCTCATGGTACTATATGGCCATGAAACTATATGATGTGCAGTCAAGAACATAGTGTTTGTGGTTCTAGGAAGAAGACTCAGTTAATAAAGTGTTTGCAATATGAGCATAAGAACATGAGTTGCCTGGGTGGTGGTGGTACATACCTTTATCCCAAACACTTGGAAGGCAGAAGCAGGTGGATCTTTTGAGTTCAAGGCCAGCCTGGTTTACAGAGCTAATTCCAGAACAGCTGGGGCTACACAGAGACGCCCTGTCTGAAAAAGAAAACAACAGCCTGAGTTGGATCCCCAGCACACATGTAAAAAGCCAGCTATGGCAACACACATCTGTAATAATAGTACTAAGAAGTGAGGATGTCCAGATCCCGGCAGCTCAACGGCCACCTTGTCTATCTGAATCAGAAAAGCTCAAAGTTCAGTGAGAGACTGTCTCAAAAAAAAAAAATCTTTATCTTTTCTTTATGGTTAGTGTTTTGGTTTTTTTGACCAGCCCAATAAAGGTAGAATGGGGGCGAGATGTTAACAGCAGTTAAGACTGTGTACTGACCTTGCAGAAGACTAGACTTTGGTTCCTAGCACCCTGTTAGGTAACACACAAGTGACAGTAACTCTGGCTCACACCTCTGGTCTCCTTGAACACCTGCACCAACACACACATACCCTCTCCCCACACGCATAATTTTAAAAAGTTACAATAGAGATTGGAAATATGGCACTCAAGTTCTAGAGGATAAAACGTCTCTTTTGGCCTCTCAGGGCACTGAATCATATGCACAGACACACATACAGGCAAAACACTCACTCATAAACTAGATTATTTTTTATTAAAATAAATCTTGAAAAATAAAGAATTCTAAAACAATTGGTTGTCCAGAAAATCTGGGTTTTTTTTTACCTTGCAAAAAAATTTTATATTTATTTTATATTTACCCCAAATGATCCTTGTGGGTTTGTTTTTGAAGCAGGATCTATCACTAGAACCCATAGTTTGTCAATTTGACTATATTTGAGAGCTAATAAGCTTTGTGGATCCTCCTGCCTTTGCTTCCTTAGTACTCAGATTATAGGAATACTCCACTATGCCAGGCTTTTTTTTACATGTGTTCTGGAATTTAATTCCATTTCCCTTGCTTATTTAACATTCCTTTTCCTCTATTTTTTTTTAAGTGAAAATAATGATAAAAAGGGTAAGGATAATTTTTTTTCTGTGTTTAGAACCAATTGTTTTGGGTTTTTTTGTTTGTCTGGATTTTTTTTTTTCACTGTCCCTAATACTTTATTGGTTTCCTATAGACCTGTGCCCAGCTGGGTGGGTTTAGGTCAGGGGTCACTATTCACCAGATTCCAGGTAGGGAATGAGAAAGCCTTGGCCCAGCCTCCATCCTCTACACAGACCGTGGAGGGGGATTTAGTCTTTTCTGGGCCAGCACAGAACATCCAGGTGGGGCGAGATCCAAGAACTCAGGATCACTGATGTTTAGCCATCTTAGTTGTGTTTGGAGAAGTATTCCTTGCTGTCATCCACATTGGGCTTGATGGTGTCACTGCCAGGCTTCCAGCCAGCAGGACAGACTTCCCCGTGCTCATCTGTATACTGAAAGGGAAAGGCCTGGCCTAAGCGAAGAGCCTCATCCATAGAGCGTCCCACCGGTTGGTCATTGACTGTGATCTGGCGCAGAACAACCTTGGCATCGATGATAAAGAGGTCCCTGTAGGCAATGCCCTTATCAGTTTTTTTTTTTTTTTTTGGTTTTTCGAGACAGGGTTTCTCTGTGGCTTTGGAGCCTGTCCTGGAACTAGCTCTGTAGACCAGGCTGGTCTCGAACTCACAGAGATCCGCCTGCCTCTGCCTCCCGAGTGCTGGGATTAAAGGCGTGCGCCACCATCGCCCGGCTGCCCTTATCAGTTTTTAACACGCCGTAGTTCTGGGACAAGCTTCTACTCACATCAGCAAGCAGGGGGATGTTCAGAGGGCCCAAGCCTCTCTCCTTCCGTGGAGTGTTGATCCACGCCAGGTGGGTGAACTGAGAGTCCACAGACACTCCGAGCACCTCGCAACCCAGCTTTCGAAAGTCCTCAGCGTGGTTGCTAAAAGCGATGATCTCCGTGGGGCACACGAAAGTGAAGTCCAGCGGGTAGAAAAAGAGGACCACGTACTTCCCTCTGTAGTCTGAAAGCTTGACTTCCTTGAAGGCGCCATCCACCACCGTGGTAGCCGTGAAATCAGGGGCCGGCTTTCCGATGCATGCGTTGCCGGATGCCATGACTGCGTGGGCAAGATCACTACAGGACACAGAAAACAGATCTCAGAGCCAGTTTGGATTTTTTTTTTTTTTGATTTTTCGAGACAGGGTTTCTCCGTAGCTTTTTGGTTCCTGTCCTGGAACTAGCTCTTGTAGACCAGGCTGGCCTTGAACCCACAGAGAACCGCCTGCGTCTGCTTCCCTAGTGCTGGGATTAAAGGCCTGCGCCCTCACTGCCTGGCAAACCAATTGTTTTTATAGTTTGTTAAAAACCACTTTTCTTGGAGAGAAGAGGTGGCTCATCATTTAAGAGTCTGCTCTTCTAGAGGACCAAGATTCAATTACCAACAACCACATGACAGCTCACAGCTATCGCTTTAGTTCCATCTTGTTAATTTCTACCTGGTTTGTTTTTTGTTGTTGGTTAGTTTTTTAGATGGCGATTCAATCTCTTGCTCAGACTAGGCTTGAACTCTTTAGGATAAGTGATTTTCCACTTCAGATTTTTCAAGTAGTTGAGGCTATAGGCATACACCTTTGTGTATTGATGTTTCTAATTTTTGTTGGTGTCTTTTTCTTTATTTTTTGTTTTTCTTTCAGTTTTTCAAGATAGGGTTTCTCTGTGTATCCCTGGCTGTGCTGGAACTTTCTCTGTAGTCCAGGCTGGCCTCTAACTTGGAGATCCACCTGCATCTGCCTCGAAAGTGTTGAGGTTATAGGTGTGTGCCCCCATGCCCGCCTTTTTGTTTTGCTCTTTGGTTTTGTTTTTTTCGAGACAGGGTTTCTTTGTGTAGACCTGGCTGTCCTGAAACTCACTCTGTAGACCAGCCTAACCTTGTACTCGTAGAGATACACCTACTTTTGCCTCCCACGTTCTAGGTTTAAGGGCATGTGCCACTAAGCCTGGTTTTGTTTCTTGATCTTCTTATCTTAGCCTTATGCTAGTACCATGATGTCTTCTTGATTAGTATATGCACATTTTACTGTTTTATTTTCCTCAGTAATATTTTGCTAATCTAGATACTGTAATTTTTCATATAAGTTTTAGAGTCAGCTTGTCTAATTTCTTTTTTTCTTTCTTTTTTCTGGTGTTGGGTCCCCTGGTGTTAAAGACAGTTGAGCTGCCATGTGGGTGCTGGAAATTGAACCAAGGTCCACTGGAAGAGCAAATAGTGCTCTTAACCTCTGAGCCATCTCTTCAGCCTATTTCTTTAAAAGATCTGCTAGATATTTAATTGTAAATTGTAATGGCATTTCTTAGGTTAAATATCTCTTCAGGTAATAGAAATGTTCTAAATGCTTTATCACTGTTATTTTGTTTAGTAGAAATAGGGTCTTATGACATAAAAGATTTGACTTGGCCTTAGACTCATTATGTATATATACTACCAATCTGGACTTGTACTCTTGGCGATTCCTTTTCTCAGCCAAGCAAACACTAGGATTATAGACCTGTGTCTCCATGCCCAGCTTCCTAAATTCTTGTGGGGGGAAAAATGTTTTACTTGGTCTTTTTTTTCTCAATTTTGTGTCTAGGTTACAAGACAGATGCAAGAGCACGAACAGGACTCTGAACTTAGAGAACAGATGTCTGGTTATAAGAGGATGAGGCGGCAACATCAAAAGCAGCTGATGACTCTGGAAAATAAACTAAAGGCAGAGATGGATGAACACCGTCTCAGATTAGACAAAGACCTTGAAACTCAGCGTAACAATTTTGCTGCAGAAATGGAGAAACTTATCAAGAAACACCAAGCTGCTATGGAAAAAGAGGTGACTACTATTATTTATTTCTTTTAGACTGTGTCCGTCTCTGAATGATTTGGGTCAGCATTTTGATGTTTAAAGTATCTAACCCTAAGAACTAAGTAAATTGACCCACGAAAGAGAAGCACTTATACAACTTGTATAAAGCTTTCTGTTTAAAAAACAAAAACAAAAATGGCTCTTGTATTTTTTTTCTCTTCTTAGTTCTGTAAATGAATCTGTGCATTGTGAATCTGAAAATTGGGTGTTTTATTTTCATGTAGTAGTTCTGGGTGCTGATGGTCATAGAGCCAGTTCCAGGTCGGGCTTCAAAGCTACAGAGAAACGCTGTGTCTCGAAAAATAAAAACAAAACAAAAGAACAACAACAAAGGCAGACAAATGAATAATTGTGCGGGCTAGTTGTGGTGGTGTATGCCTTTAACCTCAGCACTTGGGAGGTAGAGGAAGATGGCTCTCAGTGATTTTGAGCTCAGCTAATCGTCTAGCCAGTGCAACACAGTAAGACCTATCTTTAAATAAATAAGTAAACTTGGTTAGGCCAGGTGTCATTGCACATAACTGTAACCCTCAGCATATTTGTGAGACAAAGACAGTATTGAAAGTTGAAGGAAAGCTAGCTGGAGCAACACACATAGCAAATTTACAAATAACCCGAGTCACACAGCAAGGATCTGGAGATGATACGGTGCTTCCCTAGCATGTACAAGCTCAAGGTTTTATTGTAGCACTGTAAGAACAACAACAAAAAAAGTTTAAAGGTACGCCCAAGAAAAGAGAATGACTGTGACAAAATGTTACAGCTGATCATTATAGCTGAATTGATGAGCTCTTAGTTCAGTGAGACTCTCATAAACTATGGAATACACCTAGAATCAACCTCTGGCCTCCACTTGTACACACATATGCAAGCTCAAAACAGTGCACATTCCACCCAAATTATATTTAACACATATGTAATATTTAACATTCACTTTAATAGGAGTTACAAGTAAGGATCTAATTTGAAAATGAATGTATCTCATTTTTTAATATATAAATTAACTCAGCTAAAAAAGCTTGGTAGAGAACTGAGAGATGGCTCAGCATTAAAGAGCACATACTTCAGGGATCCTGAGTTGAATTTCCAGCTCACACATCAGGTAGTTCACAACGCCTGTAACCCCAGCATTAGGAGGAGCTTATTTCTCTGACCTCAACAGGCACCTCCACATACCTCTATACACACACACATACACATGTAATTAAAAATATTTATTAAACTATTCATTTATGTTTGAAGATAAATATGTATTTTGTTTTTATTTCTTGAAGGGACTATATAGGTTTTGTGGTTTTGATTGTTTGTTTTGGAGTTTTTCATATTTATTTTTGTTTCTGCTTCTCTCCCTCATATTCCCCCCTCCCGAGACGGGGTTTCTTCTGTGTAACAGCCCTGGCTGCCTTCAAACTCACTCTGTATAGACCAGGCTGGCCTCAAACTCACAGAGATCTGCCTGCCTCTGCCTCCCAAGTGCTGGGATTAAAGGCTTATACCACTCCACCAGGCAGAATGTTATTTTCTTTTTCAATAAAGTGAGGAAAACATTTTGGTTTTGTAACTACATTTAAAAATAAAATAAATCCACCCTACTGATCTCTGAAATTAGACTGAAAAGGGTAAACTGATTAGGTTGTTTTGTTGTTTGTTTTTTGATGCTTCTGTTGCTCATCTACTACTACTATGTATTCTTTCTTGGTGGTGGATATTAAACTGATTTTTAAATTTATCTTCTTAACTAATTTGATTTATTTTTTTAAAAAAATTCTATATAGGCTAAAGTGATGGCCAATGAGGAGAAAAAATTCCAGCAACACATTCAAGCTCAACAGAAGAAAGAACTGAATAGCTTTTTGGAGTCCCAAAAAAGAGAATATAAACTTCGAAAAGAGCAGCTTAAGGAGGTACTTCTTTTACAAAAATTCCTTGTGTTTTTCTGCTATTAGTTGTGTTTAATAGTTCTCTACTTAGCAGTTAGCATAAAGATTTGTTTGTGGCCACAAAGTAAATATCTGCTTACATCAAAGCATTAATTATAATCTATAGTTTATTTAAGTTTTCTAGTTGAGTAGGAGTGATATAGAATCATTTCCTTAATCTAGAAATTGTATTGTGGGGGCTGGAGAGATGGCTCAGAGGTAAAGAGCACTGACTGTTCTTCCAGAGATTGAGGTCAACTCCCAGCAACCACAGGGTGACTCACAACCATCTATCATAAGATCTGGTACCCTCTTTTGGTGTACAGTCGGAACACTGTATACATAATAAATAAATCTTAAAGTAAAATAAAAAATAGATATGGTGTTGTTCACCTGTAAGCCTGTACTCAGGAGTCTGATGAAAAATCTACCAGTATTAATTATCATCTTAGTTTATCTCCTTGGGTAATATGATTAGTTGTTTGTTTTTTTCAGTTTTGCCCAATATGAATGTTTTTCCATTAAAGAAATTTTTAGAATCTTGTAAAACAAGGGAGTTAAAATTATACTTAAATCTTTTATTCTTAATTTTTTTATAAGATTTATTTGTTTGTTTATTGTATATAAGGTGCTGGCAGCAGGTCTCATTATAGACGGTTGTGAGGCACCATGTGGTTGCTGGGAATTGAACTCAGTACCTCTGGAAGAACAGTCAGAGCTCTTAACCTCTGAACCATCTCTCCAGCCCTATCCTTAATTCTTATTAAGATATATTTTTTGTCTTTTTCTTTTCTTTTCTAACTTGAAATTAATTCTGTCTCTTCTTGGAAAGATTTTTGAAGTTTTACTTATTAGCCAGTTATTCTGTGCTTTAAAGTCAGGAACCATGAAAATGAAGCTGTGTAAAAACTAAAGCTATTCGTGTATTTGTGATGTACATAGAAACAAATTACTTAACTTTTCCAGGTCAGCTGAGATCTTGTTAGAAAGAAAACACTATTACTTTTAAGTCTACCATGTAATTGATTGGGGATGTAGCTTCCTTCATGGCCAGGGCCCTACATTAAGTTCCCTTCATTGTGAAAAGTAAGTAAATTTTATCATAGCTAGTCATGAGGATGTAGAACTACATAATTCTACCACCAAGGAGGCTAAAGCAGGAGGATTGTAAATTCAAGAGCAGCCTAGGCTACATAGTAATAACAGTAACAAAACTCAAAACATTACTGGTTAAATGTACCAGGTTACCTTATACATTCATGTAGTTAATTTTTATCTAGCTAAATTTTTTTGGTTGATTTTTGTTTCCAGGAGCTGAATGAAAACCAGAGCACACCTAAAAAAGAAAAGCAGGAATGGCTTTCAAAGCAGAAGGAGAATATACAACATTTCCAGGCAGAAGAAGAAGCTAACCTTCTTCGACGTCAAAGGCAGTATCTGGAGCTAGAATGTCGCCGCTTCAAGAGAAGAATGTTACTTGGGCGACATAACTTGGAACAGGACCTTGTCAGGGAGGTATGTACATTTGAATGCTATAGAAATTTAAATAGATAAATATATTCAGTGCTGGAAATTAAAACATTTATTTTAAGACAAGGTCATATTCTATGGGCCAGGTTAGCCTAAAACTCACTATTGAGTTCAAGCTGATTTTAAACTTATGTGTGATAACTCCTGCCTCATCTCCTGATTGTTGCAGTAAAACTTTTTTTTTTTTTAATCAGTGAAACCTTTGTAATAGTTGAAAATTTTTGCCAGGTCTGGTAAGCCAGGCCCCAGCACTCTGTGTTTGAGGTCAGCCTGCTCTACATAACGAGTTCTAGGACAGCCTGGGCAACAGAGAAACCCTGTCTCAAAAACCGAAGAAAATTGAAAATTTTCAGTCACTTCCAAATCACTGCTTTTCTACATGTATGTCTCTTTACTTGAGTCATTGATGTACAAATGTCCACAAGACCTCTCTTTCCCTGTGATAGCACCTTAGAAAAACCTCCTCTTGTTAGCAGTTTCTCTTCCTTCTAAAAGGGCTCTGCTTTTCTCCCTTATGTACTAATCCGTACAAAACACATTTTGGAAGTCAGTGCATTTATCTTCTTCATTAGAACTGACTTTATGAAGTCAGACTTTGTTCAGTTCTTAAGATGCCCCAGTGTCTACCCTATAGTAAGCATTCAATAAATAACTCATTGATAATATGTGATTGACAAAAACTAGTTTTTAAGTATGAGAAAATTAATTTGGCAACTTTTACCTTTCTGACTTGGAATAGCTACCATGAGGTATATATTACCATTTAACACTTTTTAATAATCATGTTATTTATTACTTGGACAAGTGTTGTTGAAAGGTTTTTTTATGCTTTTATTTATTTATTTTTGGATGTGGACACATGAGTATATGGAGGTTAGAGGACTCCTCCCAGGATTTAGTTGTATCCTTCTGTCTTGTGGGTCCTGGAGAACTTCAGGCTTGACAGTCAGACACTTTTACCCTTTGAGACATCTTGCCAACTTTGACAGCCCATTTTTCTATTAAGATGGTGGGATCCACCTGCCTCTTCTACTAGAACACTAGGATTAAAAGCCTATGCCACCACCCCCAGTCTTGTCTTGCGTGGTGGTGCACTCAGGAGGCAGAGGCAGGCGGATCTCTGTAACTTGAGGCCATCCTGGTCTATAGAGTGAATTTTAGGGCAGCTATAGCTAAACAGAGGAGCCCTGTCTCGAAAAACAAAACCAAACAAAAACAAAGAAAAGGCTGGGCAGTGGTGGCGCACGCCTTTAATCCCAGCATTTGGGAGGCAGAGGCAGTCAGCCTGGTTTCTAAGAGCTAGTTCCAGGACAGGCTCCAAAGCTACAGAGAAACCCTGTCTCGAAAAAGCAAACAAACAAACAAAAAAAAAGAATTGTCTTCTTTATTAGAGTGTCTGTCAACATAGATAAATTTCTTTCAAAGAATTGATTAAAGTAGATTAGATATAGAGTGTGTTCAGTGAAGAAATTTAGGGGCTGGAGAGATGACACAGCACCTACACATACTGCTCTTGCCGGGGATGTGAGTTCAGTTCCCAGCACTCAAAGGGGTTTACAACTGTCTACATTCCATCTCTTAATGGGATCTGATGTCTCTGGTCCCAGGAACCTGCTCCCAGGTGATTATACCACACCCAGCACGCTTAAGTTATATATTAAGATAAGCTTTAAAAATTTATGGCTATTTGAACTTACCCAGGCATGTTGGCACTCTGCTTGGGAGGTATAGGGAGGCAGACCTTTGAGTTCCAGAACTGCAAGGGCTGCATAGTGAAACCTTGTATCAAAAACAAAAAAGGGGTTGGAGAGATGGCTCAGGATTAAGAGCACTGGCTACTCTTTGAGAGGACTAGGTTCAATTCCTATCATCCACATGTCAGCTCACAGCTCTCTGTAAAGTTCCAGAGGGTTCAATGCCTTCACGCAGACACACATGTGGACAAAACACCAGTGTACATAAAATAATCATTAAAAGAAATAAAATTTAAAGTTATATTGATTAGATTTAAATTTAAAAATATATCAATAATAAGAGAAAACAATATCCAGTCATAGATGTAGGCTTAGGTGTTAAAGAACATTGTTAGTACCATCCTTTGAGCAAATTATTGAACTATAACTTTTTGATGTTCTCTTTCAAGATAGAGTTTTTCTTTGTTCTCCTGTGTAGCTGTCCTGGTACTCACTCTGTAGATAAGGCTGACTTCAAACTCAGAGATCCACCTGCTTCTATCTCCCAAGTGCTGGGATCAAAGACAGACGCTACCATTGCCTGGCAGAACTATAGCTTTTAAAAATATGCAGAGTGACTAGAGTAATGTAATGGTTCAATGGTTAAGAAAGCTATGAATTTCTGGCCGGGCAGTGGTGGCACACACCTTTAATCCCAGCACTCAGGAGGCAGAGGCAGCCAGCCTGGTCTACAAGAGCTAGTTCCAGGACAGGCTCCAAAGCTACAGAGAAACCCTGTCTCGAAAAACCAAACAAACAAGAAAAGACAGAGACAGAGAGAGACAGACAGAGAAATTTACTTATCAATTGTACATTTGGAGTTCTATCCTGTAGAAATAGTAGCATGATATGATGCAACATAGTTAGACTTTCATTGTTACCTTTGGTAAAAGCAAAATAAAGAGAACCAGCTTAAATGACTAGTCATGTAGAAATGGTTGAAAATTGTATTACAAAGTAGTAGCTTTCAGTAAAATAAAATGTCTTTTTCTGGATATGATGGCACACACTTGTAATCCTAGTACTTGAGAGGGAGAGGCAAGAGGACTTTTTTTTTATTCTTGGTTTGGGCATATGTGCATTAGATTGTCAAATAAAGAAAATAAAGCTTTGTCCCTATATTATTCAATCAGTTGAGTTCTTTAATAATGGATTATATCCCAATAAATAAGATATAACTGAGAAACATCTACAACAAGCTATTGACCTCTAATGATGAGAGTTTTCAGGGTAGTGGATGTCATTGATTTTCATATTATTTGTGTGTCTATAGGTATACATACTTTTAAAAGACTTTTTTGTACATGTGTGTAAGACTGTATGTACACCATGTGTATGCAGTACCTGTGGATGCCCTGAAAGTGGAGGAAGCTGTGAGCCACTATGCAGGTGCTGGGAACCAAAACCAACTCCTTTGCATGAACATCAAGTGCTTTTTTTCACTGAATCATCTTTTCAGCTTCCCTTTTTATTTGGAAAAAAAATATCTTAAAAGAAATAAATTTCTCAATCTATTTATTTATTATTGGTTTTCTTTTTTTTTTTGGTTTTTTCGAGACAAGGTTTCTCTGTGGTTTTGGATCCTGTCCTGGAACTAGCTCTGTAGACCAGGCTGGTCTCGAACTCACAGAGATCCGCCTGCCTCTGCCTCCCGAGTGCTGGGATTACAGGCGTGCGCCACCACCGCCCGGCCTTATTATTGGTTTTCTAAGACAGGGTTTCTTCGTGTAACAGCTCTGGCTGTCCTGGACCATGTTGGCTTCGAACTCACAGAGATCTGCCTGCCTCTGCATCTGCCTCTGGAGTGCTAGGATTAAAGGCAGGTGCCACCACCATCCAGCAAATATTTTTACTTTTATTATATTTTAGTTTTGAAAGTGTCTGCCGTAGCCCTGACTGACCTGGAACTTGATATGTAGACAAGGTTGGACTTGACTTCAGAGTACAATGTACTTCTGCTATTACAGGTGTGAGCCACCATGCCCAGCAAGAAAAACATTCATTCTTCACCACCATGTGCTACATATTATTCTGAGAAGCTTTTGGTTAAGAACTTAGTTCTTTGGGAGGAGGAGAGGGAGTGGGGATTTGGATTGATATTTTTTTAAAGTAATAAAATAAAAAAGAACTTATCTTTTCATTAAATCTATGAAATAGAACTAGGATATAATAGGAGGGAGAGTTCTTTTTATGTACAAACAGCACTCGTACACACAAACACAAAAGGCATGGAAACTTAGTATTTACTATGTAGCCACTATTGGAGCAAAGGGTTAATTGCATCAACTTTTTGTGTTTGTGTTTTCTTTAGATTTTTCTTTGTTTTTAATGAGTGGGTTTATATGCACACTCACTCCTATGAGTGTAACCACATATTAGCAAACGTCTACATGTGGAGATCAGAACACAACTTCAAGTGTTGGTCCTTGCCTTCCACCATGTTTAAGCTATAAATTATACCTTTTTCTTTTGAATTATATTTTAGGAGTTAAATAAAAGGCAGACTCAGAAGGACTTGGAACATGCTATGCTGCTACGACAGCATGAATCCATGCAAGAACTGGAGTTTCGCCACCTCAACACTATTCAGAAGATGCGCTGTGAGTTGATCAGACTGCAGCATCAAACCGAGCTCACTAACCAGCTGGAATATAATAAGCGAAGGGAACGGGAATTAAGGCGAAAACATGTTATGGAAGTTCGACAACAGCCTAAGAGTTTGAAGGTACTGTTAAGTGTAAGCTTCCTGACAAGGTGAATGTCTAGTCATTGGGAGATCAAGTTGACTTAGTCCTTTTCATTTTTTAGCATGCTTGCTTGTTTCCTGTATGGACTGCCTGTTGCTTCAGTTTTTGCTTATATACTTTATATCAAAGAAATAGATTTTTTTACTGTAGGAATTCTTCATCAGTATTTTTTAAATATACACACTCTCTGTTGCTGACATTATAGTCTACAGGTCAACACACTAACCTGTTAGTTTCTTTTTATTCTAAGTAACTCAGTCTTGAACTCTTAATTTGATGTCAATATGATTTATATAAAATTTTCGGTATTTAGAGACAGGGTCTTTCTATGAAGCTCTGGTTGTCCTGGAACTCACTATGTAGACCGTGCCGGCCTCAAACTCACAGAGATCTGCCTGCCTCTGCCTCCTCAAGTGCTGAGATTAAAGATGTGTGCCACTACCACCCATTTGATTTATATAAAATTTAAAAAATACCAGGCATACATGGTACACATACATTCATGCAGGCAAAACATTCATAATCATAAAATCAAATAATTTTTTAAAAATTTAATGTAAAAGTTTGCTCTCGTCCCTTATCCTACATTCCTAAACCCCACCAAGATTTTTTTTCAAAATATTTATTTGTCCTCCTCAAATGGCACTTAACAATCCTAAGAAAATTTTCAAATTTCATAATTTATAATGGATATTTGAAGAAATTGAATCAGTCTTTTAAAACATACAAAACAGACTGGGTGGTAGTGACACACACCTTTAATCCCAGAACTCTGGAGGCAGAGGAGGGCAGATTTTGGTGAGCCTGGTCTACAAAGTGAGTTCTAGGACTGCCAGGGCTACACACAGATATCCTGTCTCAAAAAACAATAAACAAACAAGCAAACGAAAAGCACTCACTCTAAGGTTTTCATCAGTGATAGAAGTTCATTTAATCTGTACTTGTTTGCACATTAAAAAAAAAATTTATGGGGCTAGAGAGATGGCTCAGTGGTTAAGAGCATTGCCTGCTCTTCCAAAGGTCCTGAGTTCAATTCCCAGCAACCACATGGTGGCTCACAACCATCTGTAATGAGATCTGGCGCCCTTTTCTGGCCTGCAGGCATACACACAGACAGAATAGTGTATACATAATAAATAAATAAATAAATATTTTTTTAAAAAAATTTATGTCCTATAAACTCCAGGTCCCAAAGTATTTGCTGTTGAAAGATTCCTTTTCTGCCAAGTATGGTACCCCAGCACTCAACACTTACAGAATAGTTATGTTGATTGCCATTGTTTTAAAAAGTTATGTTGATTGCCATCTTTTAAAAAAAGGTGGTGGCGCACGCCTTTAATCCCAGCACTCGGGAGGCGGAGGCAGGCGGATCTCTGTGAATTCGAGGCCAGCCTAGTCTACAAGAGCTAGTTCCAGGACAGGAACCAAAAAGCTACGGAGAAACCCTGTCTCGAAAAATCCAAAAAAAAAAAAAAAAAAGTTGAAACTCATGACTTTTTGAACTTCTACATTTATATAATGGAGAAAGAATCATCTGCTTCTCTCTCCACTATATATATAGTTCAGATACCCACCAAAGGTGTTTTTTTTCATTCCCCCTCTTTTTTTTTTTCTTGTCATTTTTCAAGATGATGTCTCATATAGTATAAGCTGGCCCATCATGTAGCCAAAGATGATCTTGAGTTCCATTGTCTAAAGCTGATGGAATTGCTGGGATGTGCCAATGCTCCATGTTACCAAGTGCTGAGGACTGAACCCAGAGTTTTGTACATGCTGAGCAAGTACTGTACTAAGTGACTCACATTCGTAAGCCCCACCAAAGATGCTTTAAAACAGTATTTGTTTTTGAAATTATGTCTTTAAAACCAATAGTAACCCGAACTGAACCAAACTGACACCTAATTTGTTTTCTGTAGTCATACCATAATTCTGATGTGACTATATTTTCCTAGGGCTTGATTCAACTTGAACCCTTTCTTCCTATATATAACCTTTGTAGTTTGAGAGCTTTTAAAAAAAAAAAAACAGTCTGATTTTCCTGGGCAATACATGAAAGTGAGGAAAATGGCTCACCATCTTACTTCAGACGTGAAGTAGAATGCCTTCCTCTGATGACAAATGAATGTAAGATTTCCCTCTTGTATGGAAGAAAAATTCCTCTTATATTTCTCTTATTTGCTTAGTCAGTTTCAACAAAATGGTTTACCATCAACATATCCTAATAATTTTCTGTCTGCCTGCCTGTCTGTGCCACTTGTAGTTTCAATGAGATAGAGATGAGACTTCAGTTTGGGTACTTACATATGTTGACTAGGATTAGTGAGAGAAGGGTGCTGTTTCCTCAACCTGCTCTCCGGGTAATAGCTTTTTTGTCAGTATTGTATGAGTAGAAATAATTGTAATTTGAATCTATCACACTATCTTTGGGTTTTTGAGACAGGGTTTCTCTGTAGCCTTGGCTGTCCTGGAACTCATTCTGTAGACTACTCCCCAGCTAAGTTTGAGTTTATATTTGTTTCCTTGTCATGTATATTGAATTAACTAATTTATACCTGGCATTATTTATAATGGTAAAAATATTTTTTAACTGTAGTGTTAGCTGTGTCAGAACCTAGAGTTGAGTATAGTAAGTGAATATATTCTCACTTAAAGGCTGAACTAACATACCTAACTAACATACCTTATAGTATTTTAGTTATAGCAGTGGTTTGACATGCCTTTAATCCCAGTAATTGGGAGACAGGCTGAGATCTCTGTGAGTTCAAGGCCAATCCAGTTTACAAAGTGAGTTCCAGGACAGCCAAGATTGCACAAAGAAACCCTGTCTCATAAAACTAAAAATAAATAAATAAAATAGAAAAGATAAAGTAAGCTGTGTGTACATCCTGTAGTTCCAACACTGGGTAGTCTGAAACAGGAGGATTTCAAGGACAACTTGGTCATCTTAGCATGATCTTGTTACAAATAAAACATTTTTAAAAGGGGTTGGAATGTGAGTTGATGGTAGTGTGTTTGCTGATGTGTATGATGCCCTGGGTATTGTAGGGCAGGGGGAGTATACTATGATTCTTTTTAGCTTATGGTCTTAAAGAGAAGACAGTTGAAATGATCATTTACTATTGCATACTAAATAATCAGCCTAAAGTTTGGTACTTAGATTCCATAGGAAGTAGGATCTATTATAGATTGTGCTTAAGAATTGAGATTATCGGGCTAGAGAGATGGCTCAGTGGTTAAGGGCATTGCACATGGTGGCTCACAGTCATCTGTAATGAGGTCTGGTGCCCTCTTCTGACCTATAAGCATACACACAGACAGAATATTGTATACATAATAAATAAATAAATATTTAATGATGGAGGAAGGTCATTGGTTAAATAAAAAGAAACTGCTTGGCCCTCATTGGTTAGAAGATAGGTGGAAGGAGTAAACAGAACAGAACGCTGGGAGGAAGAGGAAGTGAGCTCAGACTCCACAGCTCTCCTCTAGGGAGCAGATGCCTCAGAGAGACGCCATGGGCCACTCCAGGGCAGACACACGCCATGAAGCTCCGACCCAGGATGGACTAGGCTAGAATCTTCCCGGTAAGACCGGTTCTCACAGATTATTAGAGATGGGTTGATCGGGATATCAGAATTAGCCAGTAAGGGCTAGAGCTAAAGGGCCAGGCAGTGTTTAAATGAATACAGTTTGTGTGTTGTTATTTCGGGGCATAAGCTAGCCAGGCGGCTGGGGTGCCAGGGACACAGCCCTGCCACTCTTATTACTACAATTTAAAAAATAACGAATTGAGATTATCAAGCCGGGTGGTGGTGGTGGCATACATCTTTAATCCCAGCACTTGAGAGGCAGAGGCAGGCAGATCTCTCTGAGTTTGAGGCCAACCTGGTCCACAAGAGCTAGTTCCAGGACAGGCTTCAAAGCTACAGAGAAATTCTGTCTTGGAAATTTAAAAAAAGAGAGAGAGAGAGAGAGATTATCATGGAAATGAAAGAAACATGCTTTATTTTGTGCCTCAGATATGTGGTAAAATTCTACCTTGTGTTTATAACTGCCATAATTTGATATAGGAGATGAAATTTAGGCTTATGACTTGAATATTTGTGAAGTGCAAAAAGTATCTGCCATCTTACCTTGTCGTTTTATTCTCTGTTTTCTTCCTGTCTTTGTGTGTGTGCATGTGTGTATAAATTTTTTTCTTTCCAGTGTGTGTATAAATAAAAAAATTTTTTTCTTTTCAGTCTAAAGAACTCCAGATAAAAAAGCAGTTTCAGGATACATGCAAAATTCAAACCAGACAGTACAAAGCATTAAGAAACCACCTACTGGAGACTACACCAAAGAGTGAGCACAAAGCTGTTCTGAAAAGACTCAAGGAGGAACAGACTCGGAAGTTAGCCATCTTGGCTGAGCAGTATGATCATAGCATTAATGAAATGCTCTCCACACAAGCTGTGAGTTTGCTTTATTTAAACAAAACAAATTTATTGCCCCTTTCTTTCTATAACCTATATGAAACCCTAGCAGTTGAAAGATAAGTTGGGAATGATAGCTCTTTAATAGCCCAGGAAAAATAGTGGTCATTCGTATTCTTCCTATTCTTAGCATTGCTTAGAAAAAGCATGGTGTATATAGAATTTCACTAATCCATTTAAACACAAGATCCTATAAAGGCCCTCTGCAGGTGTGGATTCCAACAGTTTATCATGATCAGATGAGTAAACTGTAGCTGAAACATACTTCTGTGTACAGGAATCTAAATGGTTACCTTGGAGCATACAGCTAAAATACTCTCCAAGTGTTTTCTTAAAGGACTAAATAATATTTTAGACTTTGCAGACCAGAAGGTAAAATTGACAGTGTTGTGTAGGTACATCTTTTTGGTTTTTCGAGACAGGGTTTCTCATATATATATATATATATATATATATATATATATATATCTCCCTAGCTATCCTGGAATAAACCAGGCTGCCCTGAAACTCACAGAGATTTGCCTCCATGAGTGTTGGGATTAAAGACGTGTGCCACCACCAACTGGCTTGTGTAGGTACTATTAAATTTGTAACTATGTTAAAATGTAAAACCTAGTTTTAGCTATTGTACTGAACAAGCAGCTACCCAGATCTGGCTTGTGTGCTGTGCTTATTGACTTTGATTTTTACTAGGAATGGAGAGATTGAGCACTTTAAACTACCCAATCATATTTTAGATTTTTCTTAAGAAAAAGTATAGTTATTCAGGCATCTTCAGAACAGCTTACAATAGCCTCTTCTGTCACGCAGTATTGATTATTTTATTTCTTTTTCTGGGATGTCCACACCCAGTTATATAGCTTACAAAAACATGGTCTTCTCTCATTCTTCTGTAAGTTGTGAATGGATAGTTCACAGAAAAATATAACAGTTTCTCTTTTTTTCTTTCAGCTGCGTTTGGATGAAGCACAGGAAGCAGAATGCCAGGTTTTGAAGATGCAGCTGCAGCAGGAACTGGAGCTATTGAATGCATATCAGAGCAAAATTAAGATGCAGGCTGAGGCCCAACATGATCGAGAGCTTCGAGAGCTGGAACAGAGGGTCTCCCTTCGCAGGGCACTCTTAGAACAAAAGGTATAGATAACAGAAGCAAGAGAGTTCTTTTAGTATTGGTTTTTATCAAAAGAACTATGTGTGTGTGTGCGTGTGCGTGCGTGCACACAAGCTTGGAGATGGGGTAGTGTATTTTTATTTTCTTCCAATATATATGTATGTTATATTGTCTGTGTACATATGCATGTTTATGTGTGAGGACAGGCTTTTGTGCCATGGGTTGTGTGGAAATCCGAATAATGTCAGGTGTCATTCTTCATTTTCCACCTTGTTTGTGGTACCTAACCCACACTGCTTTCCATTTTACCATAATCACAGTAGAATTACAAATGTGCCTTTTCACACTTCACTGCTCTCCCTTCTTCCCTCCCTCCCTTCTTATGAGACAAGGTTTCACGATGTAACCCTGGCTGGCCTGGAGCTCTGTGTAGACCAGGCTAGCTTTAAACTCACAGAGAAGGTGCACCAGTATACCTGACTTGTTCTAGCTTTTTTTTTTTTTTTGGTTTTTCTAGACAGGGTTTCTCTGTAGCTTTGGTGCCTGTCCCTGAACTAGCTCTTGTAGACCAGGCTGGCCTCGAACTCCCAGAGATCCGCCTGCCTCTGCCTCCCGAGTGCTGGTATTAAAAGTGTGCCCCACCACCGCCCGGCTTGTTCTAGCTTTTTACCTGGGTTCTGGAGATCTGGACTTAGGTCCTTATGCTTGCATATCAAACACCTTTACCTACTGAGCCATCTCCAAGCTCTTGTTTGTTTTTGAGGCAGGGTCTCGTTCCACAGCCCTAACAGGCCTTGAATTTACTAGATAGATCAGGCTGACCTTGAACTCACAGAACTCTCCCACCTCTACAGGTATTGGGATTAAAGAATTATACCATCGCATCTTGTTATTTTCATTTTTGGACTGAGGGAATGAGCCTAAGGCCTTGTACTTACAAGACAAGAACTCTACTAATATCAGCAGGGGTTGTATTAGATCTCTTTTATAATACTGACTTTCATTAGTTCTTGTTTGGTATTTTGTTTAAGTATTCAATATTGAACTTTTTATTATTTTGTTTTCAAGACATCATCTCACTATGTATCTCAGGTTGTCCTGGATCTCACTGTGTAGGCCAGGCTAGCCTTGAACTCACAGATCCACCTGCCTCTGCCTCCTGGATGCTAGAATTAAAGTCGTGTGTTACTACACCCAGCTCAATAATGAACTTTTTAACTAATGAGTTCTAAAACTCAAAGGAATATGATTATTGGGTAAAGATTATGAGCCATGAGAAGACTAAGACTTGGGATTGTGGAGGTATGAAGGAGCTTGCTGAAGGTGGAGCTATCTCAAATACTGAAGTTTACATACATCTGTGTCTAAGCTCTCTAAGATCTGAGTTGTCCACACAAATCTTTCATTCATGTTCTCACCATCATTAACCAGACTCAGAAAGAAAACCACAGAAAATTGTAAGGGGCAGAGGCAGGCAGACCTCTGAGTTTGAGGCCAGCCTTGTCTGCAAGAGCTAGGTCCAGGACAGGCTCCAAAAGCTACAGAGAAACCCTGTAGTATCTAATTGGTAGTGTTTTCCTAGCATGCTGGAATGCTGAAGACCCATGGTGTAATCACCAGTACTAACTTCATCCATTGCCACCCCCCACCCCCAGATGTTTTGTTTTGTTTTGTTTCTTCAAGGAAACTGATAAGATGGTATGCCATATCATGCTGAATCCAGTTCTTGTGCAGTTTGGTTTGGTTTAAAACATGCATATGCTGTCCTCTGGCACAGAGAATTATGACTGATGCAAGAAGATCGTGAGTTTAGGCCAGTTTATATCAAATGACCAATTCGCCAATCCTTATTTAACTTAAATATAAACATCCCTCTGGATCTACAATTTATAGAAAATATATAAAGTAGAGCACAAGAGAAAATACTAAATGATGACATCAAGATGTAATTGGTCAAATCCAGAATTTAGACATTTTTAATAGGACAGATGAGCCAGTTTACAATATGAAGGGTGAGGGAATGGACAGACTGCTGTAGACTAAAAAAAGTTAAGGGCAAATAACAAAATGTATGGTTTTTGTTTGGGCCTCAATCCAAATAAACAAGTTATAAACAAGACTTTTGAGATATTAGAAATTTAAAAATTAAAAATTTGTTATCATTTTATTAGATATCACAATGAAGTGGTTATTTTGTTAACTGTTATTAACATGAAATCAAAAAGTACAGCTGGACACTCCAGATGTAGGGTCAGGATTGTGAGTTCCAGGCCATCTGATCTATAAATTGAGTTCCAGGCCAGCTAAGGTTACACAGTGAAATCTTGTCTCAAAACCTTTTTATTTGGGAATAGAATGTTTTCCAAAAACCTGTAGACACTTTGGCTATGAAGAGGTAGATTTTGGCAGTGGTGGCAGTGACATACACCTTTAATCTCAGCATATCTTTTGTTTTGTTTTTGTTTTTTGAGACAGGGTTTCTCTGTGTAGCTTTGGAGTCTGTCCTGGAACTAGCTCTTGTAGACCAGGCTGGCCTCGAACTCACAGAGATCTGCCTGCTTTTGCCTCCCAAGAGCTGGGATTAAAGGCATGTGCCACCACTGCCTGGCTCAACATATCTTTTAAAATAATTTTCTGTATATAGCCATAAAATAGCTGTTGATTGTTTTGAGTAGTTATTGTTGCTTTAGCTTATTATTGATTTGAGACATAAATTGATTCTTTTGTTCCATTTTCCTACCCTGACAGATTGAAGAAGAGATGTTGGCTTTGCAGAATGAACGCACAGAACGAATACGTAGCCTGCTTGAGCGTCAAGCCAGAGAAATTGAAGCTTTTGACTCTGAAAGCATGAGACTAGGTTTTAGTAACATGGTCCTTTCTAATCTCTCCCCTGAGGCATTCAGCCACAGCTACCCAGGAGCTTCTAGTTGGTCTCACAATCCTACTGGGGGGCCCGGACCTCACTGGGGTCATCCCATGGGTGGCACACCACAAGCTTGGGGCCATCCAATGCAAGGTGGACCCCAGCCATGGGGTCATCCCTCAGGGCCAATGCAAGGGGTCCCTCGAGGTAGCAGTATGGGAGTCCGCAATAGCCCCCAGGCTCTGAGGCGGACAGCTTCTGGGGGACGGACAGAACAGGGCATGAGCAGAAGCACGAGTGTCACTTCTCAAATATCCAATGGGTCACACATGTCTTACACATAATAATTGAAAGTGGCAATTCCGTTGGAGCTGTCTGCCAAAAGAAACTGCCTACAGACATCATCACAGCAGCCTCCTCACTTGGGTACTACCATGTGGAAGCTGAGTGCAAATGGTATATTTTATTCGTTTTTGTAAAGCGTTATGTTTTGTGTTTACTAATTGGGATCTCATAGTATTTGGCTGCCGGGTATTTGTGGTTGGCTTTTTGTTTCCTTGTTTTTAACTTTTGGAAAATTTTAAAACTGGGAATAGATAAATATTTCATGTGTGTGGAAAAAAAGAAATTGGCTTAATAGAAGGAGTTTTATCAGAACAATATAAAAATAAAATGAAGCATACTGCCCTGAATCATCGCTTTAGGATGTCCATAGCCTAAGAAGTTTATTGAAAGATCTAAAGCCTTCCTCCATATTTCAAATTCTGTGAGTCACTGACAGCAGGCAGCGTCTGTGCTGAAACATGTTCTTACTGAAACATACCTCCACACCTTACCAGTGTGTTTCCTTTCTTTATGAAATTGGTCTGACTTATCAACCTCGTTTGGACTAAAGCAGAAAACCATGAACATTAAAAGATTGTATTTACCTTTTCAGGTGGTAGAAGATCATTTAGTTTTTGGCTAAGTGCATCAGAAGTTTGTCCCTGATTTTGTAGGTTGTATTGTTGTTAAGATGGCATTGCTTAAGGAGATCATAAGCTGTGTGGGGATTGCACTAACAAGCTTGTCAGCAGCTATCAGAGGAAAAAAACAGAGGGTTGGGACCCTGAAAGTTCTGTGATGCATGTGTTCAGCATGGAATGAGGAGATAAAGCCTATGTATCAGGATATTTTGTTTCTTGTAGAGTGATAGCTCATGCTACCCAAACTATAAGACACCAAAAAGTACCTTTGCTTTGTTTATACAAAATCAAAGACACTTAGCCAACACAAAGCAAATGCCAGAGTTATTTGAATGATGCCATATTTGTGAACTGCCATCTATTAGAATACTCATCACACTACATAGACATAATTTTATTTATCCCCCTTTTGGCTTATGGGATTTCCTGTTTACAAGTAGCAATAGTCAATTATTTAAATATTTAGTTGCCACTAGGAATCACTGAGCCAATGACCACCAGCTGCTGACTAATCTTCACACTGTAGATGTTGCTTCATCTGCAGGTTCTCTATGTTTAATTGCTGTTTTTGTTGCTGCAGTACCTTACAAACTTTTAGTTCATTGAAACTTCATGTCACTTTCCCACAATAGTAAAGTTCCTTTCAGAAGTCTCTAGCTTAGTGCTAAAATACTACTGAGGAAGAAACTAGGTAGTTTGAAGAGTGAAAGAAAACAACAACAAAAATTAAAAGTAAGTTATAGTGATCAAGGACCACTAACCTGGGAGTGTGATCTATGTTTTCTTCAATGAAGGATTAACCCAGTGTTCTAAGTCAGTGCTAGTTAGTATCCTCCAGTTGCTTGTGTAGAGCTTGAGGTGGAGCTAGGCAAGGGGCAGTGCCATGTTTAGTGACAGACCAGAGTTTCTTACAAGTTATTGTCCTGCTCCCTCTTCAGTTGTCTTGAAGAGCTCTTGCTGCTAACTCTGGGTCCTGCTTTTCCTGTAATTAGAAGGCAGGAACACACTTAAGCATACTTAGAACAAACTAGCGACCAAATTGTCATCTACCACTATTGAAGTTCTTGGTTTTCTTAACAACAGATTCAATCTTGTCCAGGTATGTCATTCCAGTCTCTATGACTTGCCCCCTTAAGGAATTTCTGACTTTGGGTTGAGGGTTTCTGACACTAATTAGAAGAGAAATTAGATCAGGGTGTGGTGGCATATACTTACAATCCCAGCAATTGGGAGGTAGGAGTCGGGTTCAAGGCTGCCTTCAGCTGTCTCACAGAGGGAAGAAAGGAAGATGCTATTATATAGATCCTTTGAAAACCATTATAAGGTTTGTGGCAGAGTTCACAGAGCCAGGGTTTTAAACATGATCTACATCAGTTTTTAGGTAAACATAGTTAATGAAAGGGGCTTTTTAAGTTTTTTTTCTTCCTGCATTCAAAATTCTATTCAAGAGTTTCAAACAAATTTGAGAGTTCTATATATTTGAAGGAAATAAGGGAAAGCTTTAAATTTAATAGGATGTTCAAAACTAAAAGAAGACCATCTTTATAAGATGATCTTATAAAACCATTAAACACCATGCTTCTGCATTTGGCCCTATCTACTTCTGGAGGGTTAGAATGGGAAAGTAAATCAGATGTGAATAGAAAATTCCTTCAGACTCCAAACTATTACCAGAGATACATTTTATAGTCTAGCTGTGAGTTTCACTTGGTCAGATTGAGTTGCTGAGTCCATTTTGATCATAATGTACTCATACTAGTGTGACTGAGTAATGACTATGTGTTGTGTCCAAAAGAGATTTCTGCCTCATCCAATTGTGTGGCACCAGTTTTCCCATATAGGTCATGATTATACCATCAGTTTAGTTAAAATACATGTTGTTTGCAAAATGATTAGTGTTAATAGGTTGTGTGTAAGCTATAAATAACTTCTGAGTAATTGTGTACATGGCAGAAACCGTGACAGTAAAACCTGGTAGCAGGAAAATTCGAAAGGGTTTAAAATACCCTGAAGACAGGGCACGTACTTTCTGGGGAAAAAAATGTGGAAATGTCAAAGTTTGACCAGTTTAACACTACCTCCTCCCCATTATCATATGTGTGTTTAAGAAAGTGAGAGTGTGGAGAACATGTGCAGCACACCAGAAGTTATGATCTATATCTGGTATCCAGAGCCTAGTGGGGAAACGTTTCTTGTTCTCCCTTTTTGGGGTCAGCATTTTAAACATACATAGCTTCATATCTTAAGACATTTTATTCCTAATTAAATTCCCCGCCCTTTGCACATAAGTTTTCCTTTAAACTTAGCTCTAACCCTAAGTTGTGATGTCAGGAAGTGTTTGCACTGTGTAAACAACGTTAGCTGAAAGCGAGTTTATTTCATTAGAGCTCCTATTTTCTGTATGTTTCTTTAACCAGAGTTGAACAGTCCTGAACATGGAGTCACACCCACAGGTGAACACACTCAGTCTCAAGTCAAGGCCTTGCTAGTAAATGGAACTTTGTAATAGTTATTATGATTTTTTGACTGCCTGGACATCAAGTAAACAACATTCAGAACACTAAAGAAAATGTTCTAGAGATTCCATCCTGCTACTAACAATTTTTTTGTGTACATCCTTTTTTTGTTTTTCAGAACTTAAGGCAGAATTCAGTAATTTTGTGCTTCTGTAAATGTCTAGCATTTTAAGCATATATAGACTACATTGTTTTGGACACTGGAATAATATGATTTTTTTTTTTTTTTTTTTTTTTTTTTTTTTTTTTTTTTTTTTTTTTTTGGTTTTTCGAGACAGGGTTTCTCTGTGGTTTTGGAGCCTGTCCTGGAACTAGCTCTTGTAGACCAGGCTGGTCTCGAACTCACAGAGATCCGCCTGCCTCTGCCTCCCGAGTGCTGGGATTAAAGGCGTGCGCCACCACCGCCCGGCTGGAATAATATGATTTATTTTCACCTAGAAAAATGACTTCATTGTACTTGAACACCTTTGCATTTCTCCATTTGTGCCATTTACAAGTGGAAATAAATTGTATTATACCATGATCTACTGGCTTTTTAAAACTGTTACATATGCACATTTTTGGTATAGCTATTTTCATTTGTATGTGTATATTGTATGTATATTTATATATATGAGTGTCTATATGTGTGTATAGATGGATGGATAAACTCATTCTATACATGTCTGCCAGGGCTCAGTTTTGAGTTTTGTTGTTTTCTTTTTTATCTTCTGTTAAGGCAAGGATGTGTGTGTTTTTAAAGAGTACTCTGAGCTGATATTTATGAGAAGGTGATTAGTAGATTCAATCGTTTCCTTTTTAATCCCTTAGCACTTGTATGAGTGAAGAGAAAGTTAAGTAAAATGAAACCATAAATTTCAGTGTAGTAAAAACATGATAGGGAAGGAGCCAGTTGGTGTTTTTTTTGAGTTTGTTTTACAATGCAATAAAAGATAAAAGCAGGAGAAAAGTGAACTGTGCAAAGATCACTGGTGGTGATTTTCCACAAAGGTGAAAAGCCAGTGATCCATTCTTTGTTGATGCCATGATCCCCCACTCTTAATACTGATAGTTCTGGATTTTGCTTAGGATCAAAACTGCCAAGAAAGAAACTACTACTAAAACATATCTAAGGTTCTCCTAAACTGTAAAATCACAGGAGATGGTTACTGGGAGAGAAGGCATAATACTGGTTTGAAGGGCTGTCTCCTTTTAACTTACTCTTCTTGCTTGCTAATAGTAAGTTTTTTATGCACCTTCGACCCCTTCTGAGCCACTACTATTCAAGCAGATACTTGGTCCAACGCAATATCCCTTTCTTAGTTTTATTTCTTTTCTTTTGAGACAGGGTCTTGCTTTCTGGTCTGGTAACTGATGTTTACCCAAGACTGGCCTCAAATTTCTAGCACTCCTATCCCAGCCTCCCAAGTAATGGGATTACAGGTGTGAACCACCATGCTCAGCCACAGCAACCCTTTCCTTCAGAGGTTTTATAGTTCTGCATTCGACTCATGTTCAGAATGTGAAGTGTCCTAATGTGTATTAACTTCAGAAAAATAATATATTTAAGCTATTCTAAGTGTGAATCTGCTATAATGAGAAATTCTCACTTCTTACATAGAGCCTTCTCTAAGGAGCAAAGTCAAAATGTGGGCTGTCATCGCTGAGCTGCTTCTCAAATTACAGATCATTATTGAAGATAAATACATTGTTTTGTTTCCCCCCTTTAACAGAAGTCTCCCTTCCCTGTTTAGCATTGCCTTTTAAAAGGCGCTCATCCTTAGTTAAGAACTGGAAATTCCCACCCTCGGATTCCTTAAAGGATGAAGAGTGTGCTGTACACTCAGCATACGTGCCTCTTGTATGCAAGGACTACTGATTGACGTCTGTTTTGCTGTGTCTGGTTATGTTGTCTGCACTTTTATGAAATCACTACAGTAGATCTACATTGGAAGTAACTATTGATTTGTAAAGAAATTTTTATTAAACACTGTAGAAAAAGAAAGTAAAGCGGAGAACTCTTCCTTTTTGTACATTTATATTTTCTGCTGAATTCTGGTAGCCCATTTTAAAGTTGTATTGACTTGTTGGTCTTCCTCTTTGATTATATTCAGACTTCCAAAGTTTTATTCAAACAAATGCTGGCCTTCAGATTATAAATGTATGAGATATGCACCGTATCTGCCTATTGCAGACTTTTGAAACTTGCACTGCCCATTCATGCAAAAATAAGTATCTTAAGAAACAGAAAACACAAACTGGGGAGCCATGTACTGTGTCATCATATCTGTTAACTGTTTTCAGCAATCCAAACTGTGTGTGTGTGATATTGGTGTGTGAGTGAGTGAGTGTGATTTTATTTTGCTTTGCTTTTCTTTTAAATATACAAGGGGTTCTTCTTCAAACAGAGGAAAAAGTTAATCCTCTCCAGTTGATGCCCACTGGATATAATAATCTTTACATCTGTAGGTAGTTGGAAATATGGAGAGAAGAGAAGGTAAGACTTCTCAATGAATGAAAAAGGGTATCTTAATGCTCAAGAATCCCCCTCCCCTAAAAGTACGGGTAATTCAACCTGCACAGTTTCCTTTCACTTGTAGTTTAACAATTATGAGTGAAAAATCATGTAATTATCTGTAAATATGTAGCTAACAAATTGACCTAGTTTCTGTATTTTTTTGGTTTTGTACTAAAGTTTATAGGTCTGTGCCAGCTAGAGAGGAGTTGTTGTCATTGCTAGTTGTGGTTCTAGCATTTAACCCTGAAACCATCATAGGTGACATTTTTAGAATTAATGCTTAAATGTTGTTAAACAGGGAGAAATGGAGCTTAATCATTGGTCAGGTTTGAAATCTTTTGAAATTAAGTAATTTTATTTAATATGATTACATGTTGTCAGTCATGAGTGAGGTGTAGGGAGTCTCCCTCCCCCAGTGGCCATGTTTACAGAGTGTTTGTCTATAAAGTGCAAGTGTGTTAATGTTATGTAAATTATGCAGGTGATAACTATGGTTTGGGACTGTTTATGGGCTCTTTTAACTGACCTTTAAAATGAAATGAACTATGCTTATTGCTGGCACATCGATCCCATTTCTGGAACATTTTTCCTACGTCCAGAATTCCGTATGTTCCTTGACATTATCCCCACTTAACCTTCCTTCCTCTGATATGCCTTGTAGCTAAGATATTAAAGACTGTTGAACATAGATGAGGGAAATGTGTTTCTTAAAAATCCATGAACCCTCAATTGTATGCTTTCAGTATTGTGTTATATGTTTCTATGGCAACTTTGAAGTCAGTGGTTTAGAAATGAGATACCAATGTTAATGAAAAAGTATGTACTCTTTGCTTTTGCATGGCTTGGCTTAGTATCCAAGGTATATTAGAGCCACTTGAAAGCATGAAGACCAGTTATGGAAACAGGTTTCTCTTAGTGGCACATTTTGCTTTTTCTTAGCCCTCAAATACATTGCCTCGGCATGAACATTATTGTTAATATAAATTGCACATGATCATCAAGCGAATTCTGTAATTTTGAAAGATGCAGCTGCCTGATGTCTGCAGTTTGGTTGGTCTCTATCTAAATAACAGTGTGGGTATGGGAGCCCTTCTTGCCCTTTTTTGGGTCTTAAACAGGTCTATCAATTTATCAAGGTGTTGGCTGCCCCTGGGGTATTGCCATGCTGTTGTCTTTGCTGCCCATTCATTCCACATGTGCTGTTGTCCTTCCTCGCATGTCATACTCTCAGAGAAACCATCATTCTTTCTTCCTAGCAATTTTATTTTGCCTTTTCTTCCACATTAAATGGGAATTGTGCCTATTTAGGTTGCCCCTCTAGTTAAATACACCTGTAACCCAAGCCAGAGACAAGGTGGTAAAACATTTTTTTTCAAGTCCACTTGGCCAGTAATTTACCTAGCAAACTTACCACATTATCTTGACACTTGATAGAAGAGCCATTAGGAGTCACGTGGTTTCATAGAGTAAAGTCCAAGTGAAGAGGGATGTGTGGGGTTTCCATTAGGAAATAATTTTGTTATTTTACTTTTTATGGCCCTCTGCTAGTTTAGAATAGGTTTTCTCTTTTTTTAAAAAATTTTTTTTTAGGGAAATTTTTACAAAAGCAATGGTCTGATGTAAATAACCTTTTAAAGTACAGTGCACATAAATAACTTCCCTAGGCTGTTACAACCTGACTTTGTAAATGCTTTAGAGTTTTTAAATTAACACTTGTGTTGCTAAATCCTATTTATGTAAGTCTGAAAAGGTTTTTATCCCATGTAAAACATTTAAATAATGCAGGTTATAATGAGCAAGTTAGCTTTGAGACCCCCTCCTTTTAGTATATGAAAAAGCCTAATGCGCATTAATGAGGTTGGAGAGACTATGAGAAATATGTATAGTGTATATTTTAAACAGCTTTGCTTGTATTGTGAAGATTTAAGAACTTGAGATTTTAAAGTTAGCTATTAACACAGTTTTAACGTAAGTTATCCCACTGGGTTTAAAAGCATCTTGAATGTATAACCCTTCTATAACCCAGGTTGGTTTCTGCTTTTACCGAATCATCTAAACGTTATTTATATTTTTAGTTTTATGTACTCATTTCTTTTCATTTTCCTCAAACAGCATGGTTTTTTTGCACATGTAGAAATTTTTAAAAAGAAGGAAATTAATAACATGATTTTTCTCTGAATTTTCTTCACTTCAGTCTTTCTACTAACCTCTTAAAGGCCATGGCATTCCATTTGCTTTATTTGTGCAAATGCCAGGGTTGGTTTTTATTTTATTTTTGCTATTTACCTTTAAAAAAAAAAAGACAATGCTTCAATCAATTGCTTTTTTTTATTTAAAATTTAAAAAAAAGAAAGAAAAAAAAGCTGTAACCTTATCATTTTTGAGTAGACCATTGAGAGAGAAGTGCACACCTGTCGTCCCAGGACCAGCTTTGGTGGCTAAAGGGAATATTTTAAGCGAGACGTTCTGTACAAAATGTGGAATGTGCTATCCACAGTCTATTTCAGTTATTCCCACAAGTCAGGTCCTGATAAATGAGGGTTATCAGCTAACTGATAAGATATCATTGAGGTTCGTCAATGAATTTGTACATTTCTAGTTCCCTTTGGTGAAGGGGAAAGTGATTTTGCAAGACCTAGATTTTGGCTTGGTTTCTTGCCTCCTTTTTTGGCAGCCTTCATCTTTTCCTAAAGCCCTTGAGCCTGTAGGGTTTTCATAGTGGACAAAGGATTTATGGTCGTTTAAAACTGGGATAGATTTTGGGGGA